CGATGATGAGACATTCCGAGAGTTCACCAACATCTCTAAGCCCGGCCGAAAAGACGCTGGAAACCGACTGTCTGTCTCGGTCGAGATTGGCGAAATCAGTGTTCCTGTCCAGCGGCGAAGAGAAGGGCTGGAAAGTAGAGGCAGTCGGCGACAACTTCTGAAGATTATTGTTTGACTCTATAGTGATGAAAGGGTCCTTGTCGGCACTGGACATGACACCTCCAAAGGCACTCGAGGGAAACCTCGAAGGAGTGGTCTCTGGCGAGGTCTGCGCAATTGATTTGAGCAGACGCGAGGACCTAGTCGCGCTTTCCTCCGGAGAGAAGGCTGTCAATCTTGTGTCCGGCGTTCCCTTGAAGGAATCGGCACCGCTGGCGGAGGAGTGAGGTGAAGAGGGGTTGAACATGACGTTCTCGTTGTTGTGGGCCATATTGTCTATCGTGATGCTTCTCACCGAATGTCGGTACTCAACCCAAGATGTGAAGATGAGGGGAAAGAAACGATGTAGTGGCTTCTGGGCAGTAGAGGGAAAAGACCGAAGTACCGAGACCCAGGGGATGACAGATAGAGTTGACAGACTTGCGTGAACACGCGACAGGTAGAAGATTGCACTCTCTTGCTTGGCCTCAAGATAGCTGTGCTTCTGCAGAAGACACAAAGTTGGGACGAAACCGAATGATTTGCACCTTGAAAAAGGCCGACAGGGAAATTCCACGACAAGATGAGGTTGCCTTGGCTCTGGGCGGACAAGGATGAACAGGTAGAAAAGGTAGTGTGAAAGTAGGAGGGATGTGTATGGAAACGGGGCTCTCGTGGAAAACCGTGTGGTGAGAAGTGTGCGCGCGTGGACATTGGGTCGGCGCAACTCAAGGAGGAAAGAGCCCGCCATTATTGATGGTAGCGGGGGGAAGGAAGCAACGATCTGGCAGTTGGTGGGTGAGCAGCTTATGGAAAGCAGGAAGGCGCGTCGCGTAGGGGCTTCCTTCCTTTGCCCACCGCGGAAGGAAGTCGTCACTGGCTGGAGAGGAAAGAACAATGCCAACCAAGGCGGGCAGCCACTTGCTTGGGTACCTACAAATTTACCTCAACTACCTTACCTTAGGTGCCCGCCTACCTACCTCAAGGACTTCATCTCAAGTCGACCCAGTTACGGAGGGAATGACAACTTTTTCTCTCAGTCTTCCAATTCTTCTAAGGTAGACGAGGGTAAGGTAGCGTAGAAAGGCGACCCAGGAATGGCCACTTCAGCTGAGGTATTTGAGGTGCACATGAACCAGTTTATGACCTCTCGTGCCTTCCTCTAAACGAGTGTGAAGTAGGGTCACTTGGGTCAGCTGGAGCTGATATCGTGTGTACCGAATTCAAGGCAGCTACAGACGACATAACCGTGCTGCCGTGATATGCCTGTCTTCTTGTGAGGTGTAAGTCGAGGGTGACGATATGAAGAGAGGGAGAGAGCTCAGTGTTTACAGATGCCGTTGATGTGCCTGCCTGGCCCCCGAAGGAAGTATAGTGAGCGGGCCAAGGTGATAGTTCCTCAAAGATGAAGTATCGAGATTGACGGGATAGACGTTGAAAGACCAGAAGAGTGAGGTAAGGCACTGTTCACTATTCGCTAGTGATGACCTTGAGATAATCGTTGCCCCGTGCGAAGTTGGAGATACGTTGTGAGGGACGGGGATCCACCCACCCCGCAGACCGGGAGACAAGGTCCTTGGCTGCGGAGGACACGGCCCCAGGATGGAAGGTCACCCACGTCAATGTGGTGCTGCCAGGGTACAGAGCACCTTACTTCCCACGCGAGCACCTGCATTAGCGGCGCTGACCAAGCCTAGTCCGAAAGGGAAGAAAGGGAGCCTCTTCAGGACTGCGCTGCATACGTATCTACCCACGTACTTCATTTAGCATTCCGACATCTCCAACCGCCAGGTGGAGCGAGCTCATCGACCTACCTGGCACGCTAGGTACCTACCTTATTCGTACCTTACCAAAGGGCTACAGGCACAACCCGTGCCTATTCGTCTCTTCTTCTAGGTAGTCCCGCCAGGTGCCCTCGGATTGACCGCTTCTACCTCGACCAGGGACTTGCTGAGTCCTAACCTGCCCCGCGAAGCTGCTTCTACAAGTCAAACGGCCACCGCCTACCGATCAAACGAGCTCCGTACTTAGTCTACACCAACGAGAACGCGTGCCGCGCAAGGCATGAAACAGGATGCCCCGACGCCCGCAAACCTACGATGATTACGGCGCAGCCGTCCAACAGGTTATGTCTAAGCCGTGATACCAATCGAATCTACATCATTCCCGAGCTAACTCGAAGTCGCTCTAGATCATCATCACTTCGTCCGACACAGACTTCCTCGACCAGCTCATTCCGGTCCTCAAAGATGCCTCGCACTCGAATCGAACCCCTTCCCTGATGCAAAATCTCGTGCGATATGCCGAAGACAGAGAGTCCGATATTGAGAGAATAGGCTTGACAAAGCACGAGGAGTTTCTAGGTTCCGTGAACCAACTTCAGAACGTGCGCGAAGGCACCGTCACTCTCACAGCAGAGATCCTCAGATTAAACCAGTCAATCCAGGCCAGCACCGAGAAGCTTGCTGATCAAAAGCAAGCTCTAGTCAACACGAGAGCCGTTCGACAGAACATCGCCGACGCTTCGGATGCCCTAAAAGAGTCACTCAAGATCCTCCATGCTGTCAATCATGCCCATGACCTGATCCGTACGAAGAAGTACTACGCGGCGCTCAAATCTCTCGAGGACTTGCAGAATGAGCATCTGATCCCGACAATCCAGAACAAGTATGCTACTCAGCACAGACTGGCCGACGTGATCCAAAAGTCGATACCCGCATCTCAGAAAATCATTTCTGAAGCCGTCATGACCGACCTAAATACCTGGCTGTTTCGAATCCGCGAGACCTCACAATTCCTAGGCGAGGTCGCGTTCTATCATACCGAACTTAGAAGGGCGAGACAGAGAGAACGCGTGGAGCGAGACAGTTTCCTCAACAACTTCAGACTCAATTCATCAATCGAGCTGGTCTTCGACGAAAGCGAGGAGTTCGACGTGCTCGACAACGAGGAGCTACGGGTTGACTTTACCCCATTGTTCGAGTGCCTTCACATCCACAATGCCCTGGGTCAAAGCGAGAAATTCCGTGCAGAATATGCTACGACCCGTCGCCAGCAGAAAGATTTACTGCTACCCAGCACGGTGAACCTCGTTGCAGAGGATGAATCCTCACTGAGCAGTCTCCTCGAAGGCATTGCTGGTTTTGCCATCATCGAGAAGGCGACCATGAGACGCGTCCCCAATTTGCGCTCTGCAGTTGATGTTGGTTGAATCCCTCCCCATCATCCCTTTGTGTTGGTGCTGAAATTTACTTAGGTGGACGAGCTATGGGACTCAATGTGTCACACGGCTATCACATTGACCTCTCAGGCCCTCAATGAAGTCAGCAACGCCGAAATACTACTCAAGATCAAAGGCGTCATAGCTCTTTTCATCCAAACCATGGAGGTATGTAGTCTCGTTAAGTCTTGTTCTCTCCACAGCCGTTTCCTGACATTCAACTCGTGATAGGGCTGGGGCTATTCTGTATCTATGCTGGACAACTTCCTGCTCACATTGTTTGATAAGTATGCAGAGCTTTTGAAGCGTCGTTTTAGCGAAGACTTCCAGGAGGTACGAAATCCTCAACACATGTGAATTGTCTCCGGTGGCTAACGCATCCTAGATCGTGTCAACGGACGATTACATGCCCATGGCAATCAATACCCGTGAAGAGTATGAGAAAGTGGTAAACGTCAGCTGGTTTTCTCAAGAAAAATCGCCCGAGGAGCTCAGGTAAGCAAGCGTATATGTCTGGTTTTGACCTAGCTCAAGTGTCTGACAATCATTTAGCTTCCCCTGCGTCTTACCATTCTCGCAGATGTACCCTCTTTGCTGCATAGACATTCGCAACTTCTTGAATCAGTTCTACTTCTTCTCCGATGATCACTTCCAGCATCCAAATGTGATCGACGACACACTTCGCAAGGCAAGTAACATGACTAGTATAGCTTAAGGAAAGGAACTGACTCTTCACCAACATGTAGTCGCTTGACGAACTTCTGACTGAGAAGGTCTGCAAGTCTCTCGTCGAGAGGCTGAGCTCACAGTATCTCGGGCAGATTGTGCAGATTCTCATCAATCTCGAGCATTTTGAAGCCGCATGCCAGGAGCTTGAGCAGCTTCTCATACGGGCACGATCGTCCACGTCAGCCGGCGGCCCTGTCACGCTTGTTGCTACTGAAGAATTCCGAAACAACAAAAAGACAGCCGAGAAGCGTATTTTCGAACTTGTCAACTCAAAGATTGATGACCTCGTGGATACAGCTGAATATGACTGGTATGTGGAATAAGACTATTTTCGACTGGAAAGGAAATGCCTTGTTGATGTCAACTGACAATGATATACAGGATGGTGACTACTACATCTCCCGATCCAAGCAGCTACATGCAGACCATGACCCGGTATCTTTCGACTATCATGAACTCAACACTTCTAGGCTTGCCTAGAGAGATCAAGGAACTCATATACTTTGATGCACTCAGTCATGCCGCCAATAAGATTCTTGTGAGCTTCTTGATACTGAGAATAGGCTCAATTGGTTATTTCCATTACTGATGTATGTCGTTGTGCAGGCGTTACCACTCTCTCCTGATGTCAAGCATATCAACACCAATGCCGTCGCAGCCTTAGCTAAAGACGTCCAATATCTCACCGAATTCGTCGACAGTCTTGAAAACGGAGCCATGCTACGAGAAAACCTGGACGAACTCCAACAAACAATCAACCTGATGCAGTCTGACAATCATGACGAATTTTTTGATATTTCGATTCGCAACAAGAAATTTGGTCGCGTCGATGCATTGAATGGTCCCATCCTGCTGGAAAAGTAAGGCTCGAGATACCGGCGATCTTCCTAAACTCAGACTAATTTCTCTACAGGCTTACCTCGAATGCCCAAGGTCCCACGCGCAGCGCTCCTCTCGCCAATTTTTCATCCAGGTTCGGTATGATGAAGTGAGAGCCATTTGCCTCTCACACACTGCCTACAAAACCTAGAGCGTGGAGGAGTATGCGGTTCGACATACCAACACGCGTCACATCCGAGTCTTGCTGAAGCAAACAACCATTTGTATTCTCTGCGGGATTTTACTAGACTCACATATGGAGCTCGTGTTTTCCCACCCCCGCATCCTGCTAGTTACTCAAGAGGATCAATCCATCGTGAAGCACTGGCAGATTCGATGCTGTTCCGTCATCATGGCTCTCGTCGCTAAAAATGCCTTGAACGCCGCTACGCCAGATCCAAATCGAAACGATAGCCATGCCTCTCATTTGCGTCACCTGTGAGGGACAAATTCGAAGACAGCCGTTTGAGACACACTTGCCGCTGCGGATGCCCATCGTCTACTCAAACTCCTCGTTGGACATAGGCGGCTACCAAATTTGTCAGCCCATTCGTGGCGTAGCAAGTCATCAATACTGGACAAATACTCACCTGCTGTGGCTGCATAGCCCCATAGCCATACATGCCCTCGATCTCGCCGTACATGGGTTGTTGGGCTTGTCCGTAGGGGGCGGAGGGACCAGGCTGTACTTGGCCAGGGTACATATTCGGATTTTGGCGGTAATCTTGATCGGGCCCAAGAGCATGGCCAGCGAGGCCGTAGTCAGTGGCCGCCATGGGATGCGAGGAGGACGAATGGTTTGCTGACTGTGGCATGGAACCATGCTGGCCGGGCATTTGGGGAGTCGCTTGGGCTGGAACGCCTTGGGGTGTGGGAGCAGTCTGACCTGCTGTTCTCTTGGCATGCGAGGAAGCCTCCTCGCGGGGCACTATGTCAATAAGAAAATCAAACATGTCCGACTTGGCAAGGGCAGACGCGATGTCAGATCGCTGTAAAGTGCGCCGCTTGTTCTCTTCGGCGTGAATCCACGCACGCATCGTAAGTTCTGTAATGAAGATATCGCAACCCTTTGCGAATAGGATGGGTGCTTCGGCGGATATCATTTTGACTTCGGGGTCAGCCTTCATGACTTTTTTGATGCGTGCCAGGGGCAGTTGATGCAGCTTGTAGTCATGGTTGTCGCTTTCCAAGTGGTTGATGGTCTGCTGCCAGTAGGTTGTCAAGATGTCCTTGTACTGGCCAGTTAAGCCTTGATGAACCTGTTATGTGGACAATGCGCGTCAGTCGACTCTAGGCCGATTTCAAAGGGGATGAGATTGTGACCGCACATTTGCCCATGGGCCAGTGTAAAGTTCGGCGGGAGCGAAACCCTGGGCTGACAGCTGTGGACGTAGTTAGAGACGGCTCATGAAATGTATAGCATTCGATGTAGAAGACGTCGTCTGCGAGTCGCAAGGAGGAAACACGAACCGCAGCACTCGCGCCTAAGTTTGAAGATAGATATTAGCACACCGGCAGTAAGACGAGGCTGAGATGAAGTGAAGAGAACATAGCTCGCGTCGAGAGCGCGCTGCTTTCGCGCATTTGCGCGCGATCAGGGAGGAGAGGTGAGGGGGCTGTATCTCCGCTTACCATAATGGCCGCCATGAGACGTATCATATACAGGCTGCGGGCGACCTTGCTGGGCATGAGAGCCAGGCTGATTTTGAGGGTCCATGGTAGCTGTCGCGAGAACCAGCGAGAACTGACGGTACCTATGGTGTTTAAGGATTGATTGAAGCGTGGAATTGGTGGGCACGACGAGAGCCGCGGATCAATGGTGTGTGGGGTTTGTCGGGTCGTCCGTCGGATGGCTATTGCTCTAGACTTGCGATCAGTGCTCTGGCGCGTCTCGGCTTGGGGGGGTGGTGAGATACCTACCTACGCAAACGAGATGCTCAGAGGTGGAACTGTGATGTACGGGCTACTGACTACGGGCAATTGAGAGTACCTTGGGGAGGACGGTGGAGCGAATACCAGAGAGGAGACACAAGGCAGGTAGGTACCAAGGTAGGGTACCTAGGGCAAGGTAGGTACCTAGGTACTTGGTTTGGAGCCGCGGGATGGGATGGATGCCTTTGTTTGGTACTTGCCTGTAGACAAGAAATCCCAAGGAGCCAAGGACAAAAGATAGGACGATCTGGAGTTAGGTAAGGACGGAAGGTAGGCGAGTAGATGACTAGACGTCAGTGACCTAAAGGATAATGCAGGAATCCGGTTGATGTTTGCGACGGGCGAACTTGAACGCGACACTAGCTACCGCCTAAGGTATAGGTACGGAAGGTAAGGTGAGTGGGCTTGACCGTCATCTTATCGTGTGGACGGTAAGGCCAATTTGCTGACCGTGAGGAAACATCAAGGAGCATGGCGACGTGGAGGTGCCGATGTAACGGCCTCTTGGGCAGCGTCAGTTAGGTATCAGTAGTACCTTTCCAAGGTAACTTGATGGAGGCTGGCACCTCAATGATCGAGGTTGTTAATAGATGCCTTACGGTAAGGTACCTAGGTACCGCGGCCGCAAGCCACTGTCCTCCGTGGATGGACATCGAGGCCTGACCGCAGAGTGATAGGTAGCGCCGCCACACCTCCTCCTTCACCTTACCACCTTACGTGCTCAGGTTCAGGTTCCTTGGGGACCTGAGCTGTCAACGGTCAACCTGCCCCGGGTATTTCAAGTGAGGTACTTCAGTTATCCGTACAAAGACCTAAAATGATACCCAACAATCCAAGGTTCGTTCTTGGTAATCGACTGCCGCGTCAGGTAAACCTGTACTCGAGGCGTTGGGCACTTTGCCGTTGGGCATGTCAGCATAAGATACTCGGTACTCTAAGGTCAGGAAGGGTGGTAGGTAAGTTGATAAGGTAGGGGCGACAGGCAGCCTCGATTCTCAAAGCACACCGAACTCCTTTTAGCCGCCTATTGGGCATCCTGCGGCCTCACCATCACGTAGCCTTTGAGAGGCCGAGCCGCCCAAAATCTACTGTAGTCTTCTATCTTCGCTTTTGGTTGAAGCTAAGGTGGACAAAACACATCCATGGATGGGTTATTACGTAGAGCTGCATGTGGCCGATGACGTGGCTGAGGATCGAGGCACGACGTGACTGTCAATCAGTGCTTTGCCTCAATGCGAGGCTGCAAGCTGGCCAGCGGGTCTGTCATGATTCCAAGCTTACATAACAGTCTTGGGGACAGGAGTATTACCTAATACCAAAAGTACCCACCTCGAGGCGACGCGCCTCAACTCACCGTCCACTCGTGTCAAATCCCACTGCCCCACCAGACCTTTAAAGACGAAAAAAAATCTTACTTAGAATCCAACTTGCCTAATTTTCTCCTCTCGATCCCACTCCTTACACTGCTGAGTCCCGTATCAGCTCCCACGGTTCAATCGCACATTACCGCTATGCCAGAGCTGTGCGATGGGCGTCATGATGATCTTCTGAGAGAAGCGGCTAGTCGCCTTGCGACGAAGCAGCCGCCACGGCCCAAGGATTGCGCCTTGATTGCCATCAAGGCCGTACCTGTCAATCCAACTGAGGATTCAAAGGTGCAGCCCAAGGCACAAGACTCAAAAAGCATCACGCTTCGCGATCCTAGGCCAGCGGAGAAGAAGGTACGTTGCGGCGCCTTGAGCAATTTTTACTCACCCCCCATCACGCACCTCTTCTGATGAGAAGCAAACCCTGCTTTATTTTCTTGATGTGGTGACGGTGCCCGTCTTGGGTTACCTGCCACGCCAAAATGATCATTCATTTCATAGTTACTCTGACTTGAGATTTTCCCACAACACTCTTCCCTGTTTGCACGGTTGAATGGACCTGTACACTAACAACAGACAGACTGCCAAAGATAATGCTGGCCCGGGCTGGTTCGGCATCCCTAAGACGGATCCCAACGATCCCGAGCTGAAGCGAGACCTCCAGATTCTTCACATGAGAGGAACTGCCATCGATTCCAAGCGCCACTACAAGAAGGAATCCCTCAAGGCCAAGGTGCCTCGCTACGCTCATGTCGGACGCATTGTCGAGGGCCCGACCGAGTTCCACAGCGCCCGCTTGACGCGCAAGGAGAGAAAGCAGACCCTTGTGGATGAGTTGTTGAGCGCAGAAAAGGCATCGGGCAAGTTCAGATCCAAATATGAGGCGATCCAGACGAAGAAGGCGAGCGGCAAGAAGGCTTTTTACAAGAAGCTGGTTGAGCGCCGTCGGCGCAGCCGCCAGTAGCCAGGCACACGTTTTGCTTCTCGTGTCTAGACATGTCTCTTTTAAATTTTGTGATACCCGAAGTCGCTGGCTGATAGACAGTCGCGCAAATCAATTGAATACGGACTTCCATGCAGCTGGTGTAGAGAACGCAAGACATGAGTGACAGGAACATTCTAGTGACATAGTGTTTAATCCAATCACCACCTTGCAATCAACCAGTTTTGGGAATGCTGCATTGCGCTCCATCTGAATCACCCAGTGAAGCAAATGTAACGGAGTTGAGTAGAGGGAGGTTACAAATCAGCATATGCATAGAGTGATGGTATTCAATAAAGTGGATATCAATCTGTCAAAATACGATAATGCCCATGCAGCTTACCTCACATATGCATAATTTGCGGGTACCTCGAGATTTTACCGTGGAGATCCTCATTCGACCCTTTCAGCGTGTCAACAGCATAGCATTGCTCATCAATCTTGCTACGCGTGTGAAGAAGATGCGCGCTCCGACACTGTTGAGGCCAACCGCCCGCTGCCTGGTGCGGTCACATTTACAGGTTCGTTGATACTTGTCCCGCGGCGGAAGCTGTTCACTCATTAACTGTTCAATTCTGCAGGGCACCCTAAGACCATCATGGACTCGTTCACTCAACACAGAGACGCCGCAAACCTCAGCAACGCAACCCTCGAAAGATGTCGACACAAAGAGAAAACCGCAGGCTTTGAGCGAGTCTGACCCTGTGTAAGCACTCGCCCCAACTGGGTCATATTGCGTGCAGTAATGGGACTGATGATTATCACCTTCAAGGGGACATTTCTTCGGAAAGACGAAAGAAAACGAACCAAGATACCCTCGAGGCGTCCAGGCACTTTATCTCCAGCCATTACGTCGCGAAGCCGAGTACGGAATTCCTTCATGCGACCTACAGTTGCGCTCATACAGTCTGAGGAACCTCGAGTTCTTCTCCGACTTTGCCCTCCGCGCAGCGTACTACCTGAAGCTCCCAGCGTTCGGCCCGGTACCCCTGCCTCGAATCACTGAAAGATGGACGGTTCCCCGGAGTAGTTTCATTTTCAAAAAGTCACAGGAGAACTTCGAGCGTGTAACGATGCGTCGTCTCGTCCAAATCCGTGATGGAAACCCTGAGACGGTTCAGCTGTGGCTTGCTTTTCTCCAGAAGCACGCGTACTACGGCATTGGTATGAAGGCCAATGTGTGGGACTTTGGAAAGCTTGGTAGGTTGCAACAAAGCATGACGTCTAGCGAGCAGGTTCATACTTGCTCATTTGATACAAATGTTAATGTGTTAATCTTTTCCCAGGTGTCGGCAAGGCTATGGATGCCATCGATCCAGAGGCGACTGAGGCAATTGATTCGCAGTGGAAACACATTGGCCAAAACCGGGAGCTTGATACAGTTGAGAAAGTAGAGGAGTTCTTGGCCACGGTCCGGTTCGATAAGGACAGTGGCAAGCGATCAGAGGGTGAGCGGCGGTTCCTTCAGACTCAATGGAAGAAAGACGAAGCGGCGAAAAGGAAGGCAGCCGCGAGTGCCTGAGAAATCGGGCCACCCATGGGTCGACGTGTAGGCTGGTGTGTAGTGCTTAAGGAGACGATTGAGGGCGGTCGAAAAAAGGTGACAGAAGGCTCTGTCTGTGTACTAAATAGTTGAAAAGGGACCCTCTTGTGAGCGTGTCCCCTGTAAATCAGCAAATATCAAATTTGGCTCTCGTCGAATGGTGTCAGCGACTGCTACTTTTTTTGTGTTCACATAGGCTTGCGCCTTCGATCTACTTGCCATGTATTCTCACAGGGCCCTCGACCGTCCCCCGGAAGAGGCTGAGGCAACCAGGTACGCCATGCGCCCAGAGTCCATTGCGCCCCGCTATAGCAATATGGACTGAATAGCAATAAGCGGTCCATTGCCCCATGCGTTGGATTATTCAAGTTCTACTTCTAAGGCTAGTGGGCTCATGTTTATTAACCATCCTGAACTTACAAAACGGCATATGTGACCTGGCATTGGGCTTGCAGCAATCTTCGGGGGTTGTGGCATATGTGAATTCGATTATACCTCCCGACACTTCCGGTTCGTGCCCATCATTGAGATCATAAAGTAAGCGTACCGGCTTAAGTACTATTTCGAGTCAAATTAACCATTAAAGTCAGGCCTCTCTACTCTAAACGTTAGCACGGCTCTTTCTCATGTGGCAGCATTCAAGGCGGGCAGTCCACCGGCTCAAGGTTCCAGCCGGACGCCGCGACGTGTCAACTGGGAACCACCAAGTCATTTTTTCGGGCATTCAGCCTACAGGAACGCCGCACCTAGGCAACTACGCCGGTGCTATCCGACAATGGGTACAGCTCCAAGGCAAGCCAGCTGAAAGCTGCAAGCTTGTTTACTCTGTCGTCGACTTGCACGCTATCACTGTGCCTCAGAAGGCAGGGCAGCTGAGGCAGTGGAAACGGGAAACACTGGCAGCTTTGTTGGCTACAGGTATTAACCCTGAACGCTCGACCTTGTTCTATCAATCGTCTGTATGTTACGATGAACATCTCTACATCTTTCTCTTACAAACATACACACACATAGATACGAAGCCGTTTGTTTGGGCACTCATCCCTCCGTTACTACAGCCGCTTTGACCCCGAAGATACTAACAAATTACACATCAGGTCCCGGCACATTCTGAGCTCATGTGGATCTTGAGCTGTACAGCCTCGATGGGCTACTTGTCACGAATGACACAATGGAAGGTCTAATACTTCGCCGTTCCGTAAATAGTAGAACAACTTACTGACACCGGACATTTCTCAACAGAGCAAGCTGTCGCTCTCAACTGACGCCACCATCCTCGATGAAGGCGCGAAAGCCTCGCTGAAGCTAGGTCTGTTTTCATATCCTGTCCTGCAGGCTGCCGATATCCTTGTCCACCGGTATGTTTACTTGACGTTGTTCCGAAGCGCTACATGCTATTCACCCGCCACCTACAGCTATTATGGAAACTAGGGGCAGCGCACTTGATTAATGTTTCGTCCAGGGCCACTCATGTACCCGTCGGCGATGATCAGAGACAGCACTTGGAATTTGCTCGCGAATGTGTGACAAATTTCAACCACAACTTCGGCCCTCTCCTGGTATCTCCTGAGACCATCACGTGTGAGTTTGTCTAGCCATGTTTCGTGTCGTCATCTATCTTCAGGGCACGAATTCCTAATGAGGTGTAGCCCCGACACGCCGGGTCATGTCGTTGCAACAGCCAACCCAGAAGATGTCGAAATCGGCCAAGGACCCAAGGTCACGTATCCTTATTACCGACACGCCGGAAGAGATCCACGCCAAGATTATGAGTGCATTTACGGACTCCTCCAATAATGTTTCCTATGATCCGACTAACCGGCCGGGGGTATCAAACCTATTGGAGATCCTCTCTATTTTTGATGCTCCGGCCAGGAACCCAACTCAGCTCGCCGAATCTCTTTCCCATGCGTCCCTCAGAGATCTTAAACAAGCCGTCTCCAAGGCTGTTATTGAAGGACTTGGCGGAATCCGTGAGCGCTACATAGAGCTTCTTTCCGTTGACGAGGGACGTTATCTCGATGCTGTCGAAGCAAAGGGTGCCAGCAAGGCCCGCCTTAATGCCAACGAAACCATGGTCTTAGTAAGAGAAGCCACCGGGCTGTGAAACCTTTGCTCTGTCCCAAGACTTGCTCGGTGAGGCACCTCGTAGCCTGTCATGCTGTAAAGCATTTGTAATATAATGTACCATCACTGCTCATTCCTGTGAACCACAGCTTTGAACACCGTCAATGGGAATCATTTATGACTGTAGGAGGAAGGCTGGCGGGTTGTTGAGACATTGTAGTTCTGGAACATGTTCTTCACGAGGCATAGGCGAAGTTTGAGCCTCGTGCAGCAAGCCAAAAGTCTCGCACCACCTGATTGGTCCCCCTCGCTCCACGAAGACTGTCAGAGATGGTCAGCGATAAATTCCTATACTCTTTTCACACTTCACAAAGAAAGTCAAACCCACTTCATAATCTTCTTGAGAAACACTGCTTTTTCATCGCCAGCCAGCTGCCGGCTTGGGAATAATGGGTCCGACAAGGCTTGCTCAAGCCAAGTACGAGCTTTGGCTTGGTTGCTGACCATCTTCTTCAGGGGTTCACTTAGCCTGTCGAGTTCGCTCCTTGAGGCAGTTCCGCCGATGTTACGAACAATAGATTGAGCTAGCAACGGGCCTAATTGAGCTATCGCATGATCTATTGTCGCATCTGTGGGCTTAAGAGCCATGAATGTGGCCTGGTGCTGGTTAGTACAGTTGAAGATTATACGTTGCGCATTGGCGAACGAACCCAGAAATCCGCGGCTGCAGCTTTAGGCAGTGGTTCGCGCCCGTCTAGTATCCGCAGAGCATAGATGAAGAAGAACTCGGTAAGCGGAAGGCAATCCGGACGGAAAAGGGAACCAGGCTCTCGCGAGACCAAGCGGTTCGTAAACTCGATGCCGTTCTGCGCCAATTCTACATCATTGTCTGGCTCTATTCCATCGATACTGTCAGTATGGCTTTGGAATCAAGACAAGCATGACCTTACCTGGTTGTTGCTGTAGTAGAGTAATGACCCATCGGAGGAGTTTCGTTCTTACCTCCTCCACGTCGCCACTCTTCATATTCCTCAATGAGCTGAGAAAGGAACAAGCAGTGTTCACAAAGTAGCCGATTCGAGGTGTCTGAGGTGTCTGCTCAGTGAGGTAGTCGCATACCAGCCTTGGAGGGAAAACGAAGGGACCAGCGTCCGACTCTGAGAACCCCGATCGGAAAATGGTGCAAATGCTCTCGGAAACTTCGTCGCTTTGTGGAAAAGCTCTCTGAAGCTGTACTATCATTGACATAATCCCAGACTGCAATTGACCAAGTCTGGAGCTGCCGTCGGTCACTGGGACATCCTTCTCGCTATCCAGATCGAGGGGCACGTCACCCGGAGCCTGCAGGCCTTTGCCAATGCCTATGAGACATCTCAAAGCTTTCAAGGCCATGTGAAGGGGAAGTTCTGACGGGTCGCCCAGCGTCGAGCAGCGATGAATGTCCGTTCCGCTGCCTGATGCGCCACTCTGAAGTCTAGGTAAAGACAGTAGATGCATCGACAAGCGAGCATCTTTCTGGACGAATGAGAGTAAGGACTCAAGATGATCGAATCTGGTACCCTCGTCTGGGATGGCTTGGATGACAGCGGCTATGGCTCCCATAATCCGCTCAACAGCCATACAATCCAGCTGACTTTGCGCAGCAATGCCTTGATATTGACTAAGGAATGCGCTAGCCTCCGATGCCAGGATGGAACGTGACGACGAACAAAGCTGTAAAATGGATTTTGCGGCCGGCCCAGCCAGTAAGGGATCAGCGAGGACAGAGAAGAGCAAGTTCAGGGCAGCTGGAAGGCTTTGGGTCTCGCGCTCAAAGTAATCAGAGTATCTTTCAATCAGGGATATGCAGGTCTGGCGGGTGCGACCCGGCATGGATTCGCCCGATGTCTGAAGAAGGTCGAACAAGGGCGAGGAGAAAACCGCTCTGAGGCTTTCGTCGCATCTGGCATCTCCGGTTACGCAGTCGGCTAGAGACCCCAGACAGAACGCTGCAGCCTCGAGATTAGACCAGGCGCTTGGTGACAACGACTGAAGAGTCAGGTTGGCGAAAGTTGAGATCAAGGGAGGCCCAGTCACGGTGAAGGTCGATTGAAGAAGGTCAGCAACATCCTTCCTTGCATCGCCAAAACCGGCGCGGTCAGTCGAATCCCAATCAGCAAGAATACTGGCAGCTGGGTATGCAATTCGTTGCCAAACGGTCGATATAGCTTCCAGGACGTGGGAGGTAGCCGTAGAGACCCATGCCTTTGAGCCCTCTTCCTCAGAGTAAATGCAGTCTGTCAATGTTTCAACATAGGTGGACCAGAACTCGAGGGCAGGAACGAAGATCTTGTCCTCGCTGACAGGATATCCTTGGGCCGAAAGGAGCCCACGAAGATGTGCGATAAAACGCGACGAGCGGGCATCCACGCCGTGGATGAGATTCTCAACCTTGGAATCGCCAAGAGCGATCATAAGCTGCCCGAATTGGACGGAATCAAAGTCAAAGTCCCCTTGGACAAGACGTTGGTATCGCTCATGAGACCACTGGGTCTCAAAAAGAGAAAAGAGAGACTCATAATGATCATCTGTCAAGAAGCCCGAGTAGTTTGACAGTATCTCGGAGAGCAACTCCACGGCCACTTCGTACAGTTCGGCGTCGCTCAAAGCTGTGATTGTAGGCTGTACCAGTGCCCGAAGAGAATGGACTAGCTCGTCATTGTGTGCTGACACCCTCTGAGAAAACCAAACCCATGACTAGACAACACGTGGTCAGCGACTGGTCCATAACAGTGAGGCATTCGCGCTATTAGGCGGAGATGACTGCCTACCTGTAAACAAGTTATGGTGCCTTTCTGTAAGCTGTGGCTCATTGGATCTGGAGATTCTCGACATGAAAATCCGTGAGACATGAGAACCATGGCGTCTGGAACATTGCGCATGAGATTCTCATACAAACCCATGCTACCGCGCCTTTAGTGAAAAGACTAGGCCCACGAAGACTGCGATACTCACTGTTTTGCCGAGTTCATTTCCACTTTCGTTGCTTCATCTATCAGTGCTCCTGAAAACCATAGTGCGGCCTGAAGGCTTCGAGGCTGGAGTGTTTGGAGGACGCTTGATAAATCAATGGTTTCATCAACTCTTTCTTGAGACAACGCTACATCCTCAGACAAGGAGAAACAGAGGTGGCGGATGCAAAGCTCCCACTGGGTGGGAAAGCATAGGAAAAAGGTTACCAAAGCCGAGGATAGCTTCCTAACGACCATGGCACCAGAACCGTCGTCCAGTGACCTTACAAACCAGCCTACGAGGTTTTGCAACAACTCCGAAGCATCGCCCTTTGACAGTGAGGAGCTAGTCTTGATGTTAGTAGTGGTGCTGGTCGAACCTGGAAAGGTAATATACAACCTTTCAGTGTTCAGCTTGACAATCAGGGTGAGGGCACCGAAGAACTTGACCTTGTCATCGGCGGAGCCTAAGAGATCACGGGCGATCCACCAGCCGGAAGGGGATCTTTGCATGCGATGTAGCGTCTCTTGGATGCGCGCAATGGTCTCAGGGGACGACGGTTCGTAGAGAGCCGAGACTAACTGTGACGCGACTGTCAGTATCGTCGCTATCCTGTCGAAGATGGGTGCGAGACTCACGGCTTCTGCCTCTTGTATAGTGAGTGGCAGCTGGGGCTCCATGTTTGCGTAGAATGATGAAGCACTCAAATATTGGTCGGTTTTGTTCTCATATTGATACCCAAGTGTATCCTCGAAAGTGAGTACGTTCTTCGACGCGAGTAAGCGGGCGCAGTACGGCGTGCGAGGTCAGGATTCGTATTGTTGAGTGCACAGTTTGAAGTTGAGGCTATGGGTAAACATAAATGCAGGCCGCATACCCAAAGTGAAGTGTGAGAAAGCTCGGAGAAGATGCAGGTGGGTCGCCTAGAGGACTAAGTGACACGAGCTTCAGAGGCATTGGACAAATCAACCTGGCGAGGAATAGAACAAGAAATGTTTTCTACTAAGAAAGAAGAACAAAAGAACTGGAAAATCAACAGCATGAATGCTTCAGATGGTTGCAGATTATTTATTCTCGTTTCTACAGAGAACCTGATGTTGCTTCGACTTGCTGCCTTGATTCTGCTCCAAACCGGTTACAAGGGAATAACGCCTATCCAAAGAATTCCCCTGGTGAGAACCAGCTCAAGTTCCTGTTTATACAATTAAAGAGATGAACAAGTCATGGTAAGTGGGCAGGCACCGTACTGTCTCCCTGTAAGCTTACCTACGTGCCCCCCACTAACTACCTACCTACCTAAAGTGCATAAGATAGGTACCTAACGTGGTGCCTTGGTACTTCGTACCTACCCACCTTACCACGCCACATGCTCGCACTCCCCGCTGTCTTGAGGGCGGGCGGGCAGTCACGGAAATCTGCCCCTCTCCCTGAACGTGAGCTGGTGCGGGGCACCGTCGAATGTGGAAGGAGAGCTGGTTTCTGTGCATTTGTGTACCTGTTGTCAAGGCCCACTATCAGGAAGGCACCTACCTGAGCTGCAGCATTGTCCAGACGTGGATTCGTCACAGTCACCTCCTTCCATTACCTACTTGTCCCGACGCTGCCCGTGGAGTTAGTTGCCCCCGCGCAGGTCAAGCCACATTGGTTATTCCATTTACCTTTGCCTTAACCTCCGCTTCTTGGTGAAATTGCACCGTCCTGGTCGTTCCTCGAGCATCCTCTCCTCATGCTCTGGATCAATCTTCGCCCTACCTTTCGTCTCGTCTGCCGAACCAGCAACCGGTTTCCCACAAGTAGCCTCAGCGTCTGGGCCTCGCCCGCTCCATCGCCCGCCGGCTTTCATATCTCCTCTCCTGGCCTTCGCCATCGAGCACTACACCAAGTCCCAACCCGAGATATGGAGCGGATTGACACTACCAGCCGCCTCTCGAGGCTCAGGGAGCTGATGAAAGAGCGCAAGGTCGACGTCTACGGTATGGATAAATCACCGCAAGCCAATCTTCACCCGATTGCGCTGCTGTAGTATTGTTGCTGATCCCCTCCTCTTCAACATGTAGTCATCCCCTCCGAAGACTCTCACGCCTCTGAATACATCGCTGGCTGCGACGGTCGCCGGGAATTCATCTCTGGCTTCAGTGGCTCTGCCGGCTGCGCAGTCGTCACCTTGGACAAGGCCGCGCTGGCTACCGACGGAAGATACTTCAACCAAGCTTCTAAACAGCTTGATCAAAACTGGTTACTGCTGAAGCAAGGTCTCCAAGATGTTCCTACATGGCAAGAATGGTCTGCTGAACAATCTATTGGTGGCAAGGTTGTCGGTGTTGACCCCGAACTCATCACAGGCTCCATAGCCAAGAAGCTCGCTGAAAAGATCAAGAGATCTGGCGGCCGTGATCTTCTTCCTTTGGATGAAAATCTGGTAGACCTCGTGTGGGATACTGACCGCCCGGCTCGCCCCAAGAACCCCGTCAAAGTGTTGCCCGATATATTCAATGGCAAGGATGTCAAAAGCAAGCTCAAGGACTTACGCCAAGAATTGGAAAAGAAGAACTCGCCTGCCTTTGTTGTGTCAATGCTTGACGAGATTGCCTGGCTTTTCAATCTCCGCGGCGACGACATTCCTTATAATCCCGTCTTCTTCTCATACGCAATCATTACTCCCGACTCAGCAACACTGTACGTTGATGATTCCAGGCTCGGAAAAGAGACCCAGGCCTATCTTGCGGATAATGACGTCGCTGTCAAGCCCTACGAGGCCATTTTCGATGCAATCAACGCTCTACGTTCCGAAGTCAAGTCCGCCGAGCCAGCAACTGGAGCCACATCTCAGAGGTTCATGATCTCCAACAAGGCATCTTGGGCATTGAAGCGCTCCCTGGGCGGAGACGGTCAAGTTGATGAGGTACGAAGTCCTATCGGGGACTCCAAGGCTGTCAAGAATAAGAACGAGATGGCTGGCATGAGAGCTTGTCACATTCGCGATGGCGCTGCCTTGATCGAGTACTTTGCTTGGCTGGAAGACCAGCTTGTAGCCAAGAAAGCCAAGCTGGACGAAGTTGAGGCAGGCGATAAGCTCGAACAGTTGCGCGCAAAGCAGAAAGATTACGTCGGCCTGTCATTCGACACCATTTCCTCGACTGGCGCAAAGTGAGTTCGGTTTTCTCCTGCCTCTGGTGAACATCGCTTTGCCTGGGCCATGGCAACATTATGTGAAACCAACCTTCCTGGCTCTTGCTAATCTCTCCCTAGTGCCGCTGTGATTCATTATAAGCCGGAGCGAGGGGCATGCAGCACCATCGACCCCAATTCCATCTACCTGTGCGACTCTGGTGCTCAGTACCTCGATGGAACCACCGATACTACGAGAACCCTGCACTTTGGACAACCTACGGAAGCTGAGAAGCTCGCCTACACCTTGGTGCTGAAGGGGAATATTGCATTAGACACCGCGATATTTCCCAAGGGCACAACTGGCTTTGCGCTTGACTGCTTGGCTCGCCAGCACTTATGGGTATGTGTTGAATCATAGCCTTGGTTCGCAGAGATGGGTAACTGACTTTGCTTGTACCTCAGAGAGAGGGCCTCGATTATCGCCACGGAACTGGCCACGGCGTTGGGTCGTACCTCAACGTACACGAGGGGCCCATCGGTATCGGCACTAGAGTTCAGTTTGCCGAAGTGGCTCTTGCACCAGGCAACGTAGTGTCGATCGAGCCAGGATTCTACGAGGACGGGTCATATGGCATTCGGATCGAGAACGTCGCAATGGTCACCGAAGTCAAGACAAAGCATTCCTTTGGTGACAAGCCTTACTTAGGGTTCGAGCACGTCACTATGGTCCCATACTGCCAAAATTTGATTGAGCCCAGTCTCTTGACAGCGGAAGAGAAGGCGTGGCTCAACAAGCACAACGCGGACATCTTCCAGAAAACGAAGGACTATTTCCAGAATGACCCCTTGACCCTAGCGTGGTTGACACGGGAAACGCAGCCTTTCTGAGGCTATCAGGCCTAGAAACGGACGAAGGCGGCGAGAGTAAAGGTAGCTGCAAAAGATAGTCGGAATACAGCATTGTGGAAAGGTTTCGTCAGAATAGCCTTGTTTAGATGTTTCTTCAAACCGAGAAGCTGGGGCAAGTCCAAGCCGTATCGATGCGCAAGCTGTGAAAACGATTATTAGCACGGAAATAAAAGAACCATAACCCGATGAGTGAGCTCTATGGGGGGCGGTAGCAAGTACGTAAACGGTGAACATGGCTAGGCCGGTAAGTAGAACCAGAGTGTGCGATAGGAAGCCGACGAGAAGTCCAGCTCCAAATCCTATGGCAGCATTAACAAGGCACGCCCAACATGAGAAACCCGCTTGGCGCTTGGGGGGGATCTTATACCATAAATACTGCCGCGTGAAAGCTGCCTCATCGATTCTGGATTCAAGCTTCCATATGAACGGTGATGCTGCACACGATTGGGGGACGGCGCGGTCGAGGTGAGATGAGAGCCAAAGTTACCAGGCGTTTGTCGGCAGACCAACGAGTAGGCAACGCAAACGCCAGTGCCGATCGGCCAAGCCAGGCGCCGGCCGGCGAATCTTGCTGAAAGGAGGCCGCTCATTGAATCGAATGAGCTTAGATGGAAAACGAAGTTGATCAACGTTGCATCTGGGGAAGGAACGAGGGAGACCCAGCGGGTTGTGTACAAGCGAAGAGTCGGCGGATTACCTGGCACGCTTATTATGTGCACCTTTCTAAGGTACCTTACATTAATTGATTTATGTTAGGTAAGGTTCTAATTACTAGCCTAGGTGCCCACGGCACCTACTACACCTAAGCTGCTCTTCTTTGCCAGAGTAGCTGAGGTGCATTGCATCACCCTATGAATGACGTAAGTACAGTTGATCACCTCCAATTTATTCAGGTATTTTTCCAAAATAACTACCCCGGATACGCCACATTCGAGTCAATTTTCCCGCACGTTGAGGCAGATGATCCTCGTCAATTTAGCCACTGTTGTAAGTGTTCATATTGATGATTAAGTCTCGTTCATGTTTGAAAGGATCTCAAGGGCGTCAAGGTACGATCCGTCATTGCCCTGACGTTTTTCTACCCACCAACGTAACCATTCATATACACATGTCACACCGCATGGTCATCCCCATAGGTGTTGACACGCGCATCGCTCAGCTTGGTTCAAGTTATAAAGAAGCATCGCCAACGCCTAGAACTCCCCACCCTACAAAAAAGAAAAGTCAAGAAACCGCCATCCCAGAATGGGTATCCGCACAACCATTATAAAACAGATCAAAGCCAGAGAAATTATACATTTCGTGGAAAGGACCCAGCTTAGGGGAGCGAATAGCCGCGAGCAAGGGTAGTCACCACGGCGGCTCGGTCCCCTTTACCAGTAGCGAGCCCCATAGATCGGTAGCCCTCGTCGACCATGAGAAGCTCAGCCAAGGCCGCCCCACACGCCGCGTATTCGCCTTGCAAGCTGAATATCCTTTTGCATGATGGTGACTCTCTTAGCGTGGATCGCACAGAGATTGGTATCTTCGAAAAGGTGAACCAAGAAAGCCTCGGCAGCTTCTTGCAGTGCTTGTATTGCTTGTGACTGCCATCGCATAGCTTCGCCTCGAGGCCTCACCGACTCAGCAATCTCGCGAACCTATTGGGGAAAGTTAACGTGTGAAGCTCTTGGATATTGACTGGATTCGTCTAAACGTACAAGGCGTGAGAAGGGAAGACGCCGCAGCAGAAGGTCGGTGCCATTTTGGTATTTCCGGATCTCCCTGAGAGCAACCGTTCCTGGTCTATAGCGTCGCTTTCCTCGATTAGGGATCGGGTCGCCAGCTACTCCTCATTAGCACCCGTCCTGCGCGACCTGGCTGGCAGGATCCTCACGTTGAACATCGCTCTGTCGCGATTTGCGACGCACAGCGTCTGACTGTCTCTTTTTCGGGGGCATGGTAATAGCTGAAGTTTTCCGAAATGTAGTGTGCAGAGATCCACTCGGGAGATCCTGTATGGACCTGACGGAGGCGAGTTGCGCGGCGAAAGGAGAGCCGGGGAAGTGCGATGGCAAAGACGAGGTCGCGATAGTGAAGATAGTGACCAATGAATCGCGAGAGAGTCTCGATAGGGATTGCGACAGTAGGGACAGAATAATGAAGATTAAGTGAGCTTCATGTGTATATTTGACGGATCAGAAACCGGATTGAGGTTGCGGCTTGGAGATGAGCATGGTGATGTTGAAGGAGTAACAAAGTAGTCGAGCCACTCTCCCATTGCGACAGGAGTCGAACCGCAGTGCGGTACCAGCCCCGCGATTTTCAGGGAAATTGAAGCTGGACGCGTTCCGCGCGTTTCTTAACGCGTGCCCTTGCTACCCCAGGCCACTTTACGCGCACTGCGCCACTTGATGTGCAGGGCTATCTATCGGTGTCAGAACCAGCACTGTGAGGCTGATGAGGGACCTGTCGTCCTGTTCGTTTCCCCGTGCGTGTCCACTGATAGCACGTGAGTGATTAGGTAAGGGAAGGAGCGTTAGTGGACTTCATGCAGATACCTTCGTCGCCCCTCTCCCGTCTGGCTAGGTACCTTACCGTCGGGTCATTGGTTGCCAAGCTGTCCCCACCTCAGTAAATTGTTCGGCATCAACCGTCGTCAGCGCTCTATTCGTACCCAAGGGCTCCAAGTACCGACCGTGCCAGCGTGCCTACCCAAGGTATTTCCCACCACCTACTCAGAGGCCACCTCTCCGGAAGGATATCATACGTGCACCAAGCTGGGCGATTACTCGTATTGTCACTCTCTCTAAGTCCAGTCACTCACCAAAGCTGGCGACTTGTCTGAACGTTTATTCCGATCCAACTACGTCCTTCCGTGTGATCGCGGTCAGTCATTCGGCCTTCCCTGTCGCCAAACATCAAACGTGGTGTCATCCCTCGTCCCTGACGCTTTGCAACGCCCCCACCTAGACACTCAGACGATCAAGATACTTAGACGGCACTTCACACCCTTCGATTCTCTCACAGCTCCGACACACCAGGCAATGAGTGCATTTGCTTTACCAACGAATCTTTGCCTTTGAAGCGCTCTACCCGCGATCCGCTACCCACCATGGACCAGATGATGGGCGATGGGGGCCGATTCCCCCTTGAGACGTGGTTCTGGGAGATGCCCATATGCACCAGATGGTGGACGACGGCGACCGTTCTGACTAGCGCTCTCGTTCAATGTCAAATGGTTACTCCTTTCCAGTTGTTCTACAGCTTCCGCGCCGTTTTCGCCAAATCCCAGGTTCGCCTAACCTCCCCGTTCTTCAGTTTTTGGTGCGCGTTCCTTGCAGCCGCATGACAAGCTAGTCCTCTCCCCAAGATATCTGGACAATTGCTGATCACTCTGAATACCTTGATAGTACTGGCGCCTTCTGACTACGTTCCTCTACTTCGGTCCATTTTCGCTCGATCTGCTATTCCACGTCTACTTCCTCCAGCGTTACGCTCGATTACTCGAAGAGTCCTCTGGCCGCTCTCCAGCACACTTTTCCTGGTTGCTTGTTTACTCCATGGCGAGCCTTCTTCTCTTGTCGCCGCTGGTCTCGATGCCGTTCTTGGGCCATCCACTCTCGTCAACACTCGTTTACATTTGGTCGCGGCGTAACCCAGATACCCGATTGAGCTTTCTTGGACTGCTAGTCTTCACAGCCCCCTACCTACCGTGGGTCCTGATGGCTTTCAGTCTTATTCTCCACGGCTCTATTCCTAAGGACGAAATTATGGGCGTAGTGATCGGTCACATCTGGTACTTCTTCACTGATGTGTACCCGCCTTTGCACAATGGGTCGCGCCCATTCGATCCCCCAAGCTGGTGGAGGCGGCTTTTCGAGAGACGGCAGGTGGAGGAGACAGCGGATGGCATCAACAATGAGATTGCCATTGCCGGGGGGCCAGAGCTTGCTGCCGATGTCCGATGATGGGACGTACTGAGCAAGTCTATGGATGAACGCTAAACAAGGCGGGAAAAGTTGATGGAATTGGCAACATTTGCATGGTTCTTGGCGTTGGGGTATCAATATCGCCATCCTACGGCACATTTGTTTGTATCCATGCATGGTCTTCGGCAACGAAGCGCCTTGGCTTGAATCTGCCACGAAGCATAGATACCTTAGAGCTGACTTCCACACTCGACAGTTATGACAGGGGAAAGCACTTGTCAACTTGCCCCATGCATTGATTGTTGGCTGTGCCCTGTTCTCTTTGCAACGTGTAATTTCCCTTGTCTGGCAATAACTTGTTCTGCTCTATCTTCCACCGTCTACACGTAGAGCGCGACGAACGAACAAGGGCGACCATAACTCAAGTTGCAGTTTGGCTGACTAAGGTAGTTCTTCAGGTGGCCAAATCGCATGACAGGCTCTGGCCATCTTGACCTCCATTCAAGGTTGCTGTTTAGATGGTGGGGTCCAGCCCGGAAGGACTTATGGCAGCCCCACGTGCTGCTGAAAGGACGGGCGACCTAACGACGTGCTTCATTTCCAGTATTACCGTACCTCTTCTGATGACCCCACCTGCTGAGCCAATTGCGTCATTTCAAATGCGAAAAAGTGAACCCGACCTCATTATTGCCTCCAAAGCGCATTCGAATTAGCAATTAAATATTGTTGCCAACCATAAAACCTTTTGATAATCGACCCTTCCGGAATATTATTGAATCAGTCTTCTTACTGCAAAGGCTACAGAGACGTGTAAAGATTATCAGTCTCATCGTCATACAACTCTCAGGCTTGCAATACACTACCAACTCACCAACATGAAGGCTTATTGGTATGACGGTCTTGATGTAAGTCGCGGATGATTTCTTCAAATTTTGCAGATTGAGCAAAGCTAGAGTCCTTGGTAGTAGTTCTTTACTGACTGTTTTTGACACTACAGGGTGACCAGCGCCTGGCACATGACTCTGGCAAGGAGGTTACCGTCGAAGACCTGAAGAAACTTGGTGTCTTTTACCACCAAATCACTGATTTGGATGGGGTCAACCAGCTGGCGTCGGACCGCGGGTACCGAAACAGAGACGAGATTGTCGTATCACCAGAGAAGATGGGCGAGATTTACGAGGAAAAGGTCAAATCCTTCTTCCATGAGCACTTGCACGAGGATGAGGAAATTCGCTATGTTCGCGACGGTCGAGGCTTCTTTGACGTGAGAAGCGTTGATGACGCCTGGGTTCGTATCCGTGTCGAGAAGGTAACAGTGCTATCCTGTATATCGACAGATGGCGCTGCGGCCGGCTGACTATTCGCAGGACGACTTAATCATCCTGCCTCCTGGCATCTACCACCGCTTCACAACCGACGAGTCCAACGTAAGCAATCTCCACATATACAGAGGCGATACGATTTACTAACAGTCAATAGTACATCAAGGCCATGAGGCTCTTCAAGGATGAGCCCAAATGGACTCCTTTGAACAGGACGAAGGACCTTGACGTGAACCCGCACAGGAAAGAGTACGTTGAGCAATACATTCAGAACGGCGTGTCAGCATAGGCAACCAGCCAAGGGCGTGGTACGCGTAATAGAGTTAGTGAGTGGGAGTACGAAGATGCTACATGTCACTTGTTGGATCCTTTGCACTCTTGACTTGTGTTTAAGTATGGTGAATATCCCTCTTTGCTCCTTCTTGACCGATTTATACTCGGCAGACAGGCGTTGAACTGGGCAACGCCTTTCCCATCATCTCCCTCCATAACACAACGACAACGAGACGAGAATTGACGAGAATTGGCGAGAATTGTAAGATAATTGCTGTGTCGGTGCCGAGGCTTCACGGATACTAGGTCAAACCGACATTGTCATCATTCCGTCAAACGAAGACCTGCTTGTCAACCCCAAGATGACAATACCTACCTGAAATGCAAGCGTTGGTTCAACCACACCTGGCTCTCCCAGCTCGGGTACTCTTCTGGAACCAGTAAATAGTATTGAATGATCGCCGTACGACCTTGGCTATCACGAGGAGGCGATGCGGGAATCGCCCAACACCCTATGGCTGGGTTTGGTCGAAACGGGTCCGAGAAGCTAATTATAGATACATGGACTCATGCTCCATACCCAGTTGCTTATGCATGTATCGGGATACCGCTCGAGATTTAAAGGGGGATACGGGGAAGTGGGGTACGGATATACCGCGTACTGCTCTGCCGAAATCGCCGGGTTCATTCAGCACTGGTCACTTTGCGGCCTTCAACAACCGAATCCTCATCGGCCTTGGTGTTATTGGCGCAGACAAGTGTATTCGCACTTTGCCCATGTAATAAGCCATATCCAAGGCCACCAATATTTCCCTTTGCGCTTCACGTTACCTCTCCCCACACATGGATGCGCCGAGCAAGTTGGATCTTCCATTTCTCCCTTCTTACCTGACCCTACGGTAGTTACTAGCTCGGTTATCTGCACTCCCGAAAGCAACCAGCAGCATTTTACCGTCCCCTTTCCATTCATCTCACAATCAAAAGTGCATCTGGTAAACCCTTCCCGTGACAAACGGGCTGCAACGACAGCTCCTCTGGAGACTGCTTTCATACCGACTGTCAAAAGGTCTTGAGCCTGTCTACAGAGCTGTGTAGAGCCCGCAACAACAACCAGAGGTTATAAACCGAGCACCATGGACGTATGTAGTGAGAACAGCGGGACTCCCGCCGACGGGCCATCAAGAGTGAAGCTCCAGCTCCCAGCTAGCTGTGATCCACCACAACTTGATGGCGAGAGAAAGCAGTTGGTCTGGGTCGTAAGTGATGGGACACCCTCATTCTACTTTCTGACGTTGACTAAGCACTTCCTGTGCAGGTATTCGGTGGAACCGGCCACATGGGTAGATCTCTCGTCAAATCTGCCTTGTCCAAGGGAGATCTTGTCACTTCTGTGGGCCGCGTCTTTGAGACGACCCCAGAGGAAATGGTTGCGCAGCAGGACAATGAAAATTGCCTGGGGATGCTGTGTGACGTTCGAGCGAGAGACTCGGTAGCGCGGGTCATTGAACGGACGTTGGAGCGGTTCCAGCGATTTGACGTTGTCGCCAATTGTTCTGGCTATGGCGTAATCGGAGCATGCGAGGACCAGGACGAGCACGAAATTCGCAATCAGTTCGAGACGAACTTCATGGGCACTTTGAATATCATCCAGGCCAGCCTACCCTACTTTCGCCAACAGAACGGCGGCCGTTATCTAATCTTTAGCTCGACATCGGGAGCTCTGGGGGTTCCCGGCCTTGGCCCGTATTGTGCTACCAAATACGCCGTCGAGGGACTCATAGAAGCTATGCTCTACGAGACAGACTCATTCAACGTCAAGGCAACACTAGTAGAGCCAGGGTTTGTTCGAAGGGACGAGCCGGACACCCTCGCAACGCCGTTGCCAACTTGGGGCCACTTCCTCATCAAACCTGCGAGCGAGGCTTACGCGCAGGCAACATCACCAGCATTGCATGCCAAGAGAATGGTTCAGTGGCTCGGTGACCGGCAGCCAACAAGCGCCGTCAAGTGCGCGGAGCTTGTCTGGCAGTTGGCTCACTGCTCGTATCCCCCATTGCGGCTCCTATTAGGAAGCTACGCAATCGAGAGCATCCGTGATAGGCTGCGATCTGTCACCGAAGAATTAGAGGATTGGAAACATCTGAATTTCCCCGCGCCGCCCGAGGAAGGGGAGGGAAAGGAGGCTCGGGCAGATCAAGATGAAAGCATGGTCGACTCTGGGCAGGATGCGCCTAGCCAGGGAACGGCGTAAAGGTTGTGTGTCGAGCCTTCGCAAATTCCCATTTTCAACTAGGATCAGTGGCTCCTGTGTGAAGTATTCCGCAAAATGCAATGCGCAAGCATGGTGTTCCCCGTACGGCGTACTCCAAGCTTTAATATGTAGACATCCGGTTAGATGTCTAGGTATTCTTCTACCAAAGAGCGGTACGAATACCTATCTCGGCACCTTTGGTAGGCATGCCGGGATAGGCACGTCGAAAGACAGAGCTAGGGGCTTATGTAATCCTGAAGAAGACGAATAGCAATTAAAAAAAAAAAAAAAAACAGGCTGGTGCACGGTAACACTTTTCCTGACTGCTCGTGTCGAATTGGAAGGGTGGACCCCGGGGCTGCCAGGTGTCCAGTGCCCATGGTCCCTTGCATTTATCCCTTCTTGCGAAAGATACTTCCATGGCTGCTTGACTGGGCTGTCACGGGTGGTATTATGGGAGCTTACGTGCCCCAAAATTTCTCCACCTGGCCTGTAGAGAGCACTAAGGTAATCCAATTTGAGGTGAAATTCCGTGACCCTTGATAGGTAGGCGCACGCGTGTTCCCCTGCGTTCCCGTCCCGTCCGTTCTAATGCCCAAGGGCATTTGACCCCCTTAACCTGCGCTTTCTTTCTCGTCCATAGATCTTCAGCATCGCTTCCCCAACAGCCAGATCACCGCGTCCGCAGACAACGAAGCGTGGAGGACTGCAATAACGACTCGATCAACCCATCACTGCATCCTATCCCGTCGACTTCGCGAGGTGATCGTGCACGAGTCTCCCCATCACCGAATCCCGGCGCATTCGCAAGCTCCAAGGCCGCGTACTTAGCCAAAATCGTTGAAGCCAGCTTGCTTCCACTTCCAACCTCACAAACCGTCTAGACAAGTGTACACTAAGCGCCACCATGTCAGACAAGAAGAACGAGGATTACGAGCTCCGTCCCTCCGAGTCGTTTGGAGAGAAGGATGGCTTTCTGGCTCGACCTCCCGCGAGGCCGCGTCCTTCTCTTGGATCGCCAATCAGCAAGATTGACAACAGCCCCGGCGCTGCCATCCTCGCCTACTGCTTCTCTTCCATCAGCATGACGGTCGTCAACAAGTACGTCGTGTCCGGCCAGTTCTGGAACTTGAACTTTCTATACCTTGCTGTCCAGGTGCGTTTGATTCAGGCTAAATCCACCGTCTCGGTCTCGTCTAACCCAGCCATGCTATCTCTAGTCCATCGTGTGCATTCTCACCATCGTCGTCTGCAAGAACCTTGGAATGATTACGAATCTGGCGCCATTCGACACTGACAAGGCAAAGAAATGTTGGTCATGTCCTACGTGATGCAGGCATCGGCCGAAGCTTACAGTATGCAGGGTTCCCTATCGCACTCCTCCTGGTGGGCATGATTTACACGGGCACCAAAGCCCTGCAATTCCTCTCTGTGCCAGTCTACACCATCTTCAAGAACCTGACCATCATCGTCATTGCGTACGGTGAAGTTCTGTGGTTCGGCGGCAGTGTCAGCCCTCTTGCCCTTCTCTCCTTTGGCCTGATGGTCCTCAGCTCCGTTGTTGCCGCCTGGGCTGATGTCCAGCACGCCCTTGGAGGTGGCTCACAGTCTGCCGAAGCCTCTGCCGCCGTTTCGACCTTGAACGCTGGGTACGCATGGATGGGTATGAACGTTTGCTGCACTGCGGCTTACGTGCTGGGCATGCGCAAAGTTATCAAGAAGATGAACTTCAAGGACTGGGACAGTGAGTTACCCTCAATGCTGAAACATGGCCCCATGATTAGGAGAAATTACTGACGAGTTTCATAAAGCCATGTTCTACAACAACCTATTGACGATTCCCGTTCTGATCGTTTGCACCCTCCTCGCCGAAGACTGGTCGTCGGCAAACATTGAGAAGAACTTCCCGGCCGAGTCGCGCAACAGCCTGTTTGTCGGCATGATCTACTCGGGACTCTGCGCTATCTTCATCTCATACTGCTCTGCATGGTGCATTCGTGTGACATCTTCAACGACATACTCTGTGGTTGGCGCACTCAACAAGCTTCCCATCGCCATCAGTGGTCTGGTCTTCTTCGACGCCCCTGTCACGTTTGGCAGTGTGTCGGCCATTGTTGTGGGCTTTATCAGCGGAATTGTCTACGCGTGGGCAAGGATCCGTCAGACGGCGGCTTCCAAGATGTCATTGCCGACGACGCAACCCATGAGCGCGAGCTCGCAGAGTAATAGGGATGCGAACAAGTAGTGGCAGCCAGTATGGAAGGTGGCGGGGCTAGAGACAAGATTGGAGCGTAGCTTGTCCGCGTAAGAACCTTGAGTCGGTGGCACGCTGACGACGGCCGTTATCTATCCCATTTTGGACAGCCAGCCGTGCAGGAGTGATGGCCTAGGACGCAATAGCATGTGACGCCGGGCAGCATCAGCTTCGCTCTGCTCTCGAGGTCAGAATAGACAAGAAAACTTGTGCCGCAATGCATGCTCAGCCTTTGGGATATGGGCGGAAGAACGGAATAAGAAGAAGTACGAGATGATAAGATATGAACAGGCGTGTTAGAATACTGCAACATTTCGCTTGCTGACGAAATGAATGTGGAACGATAGTACGGTACTCCGGACGATGTAGCAATGTTGTAATGCCATGACTCTGATTCTACACGGGCCTTAACAGCCTTCCCCAGATCCGTTGTGAAAGGGTTGAGCCGGGGTCGACAAGCTGCGATCCATTTTAAGGTGGTTTTATTCAACAAGATGTGGCGGTGAGTTTGGTTGAGAAGCTGAAAATTCCGAGGGGCCCCAATCTGACAGCACCTAGGTAGTGCACCCACGTCAAAGCTTGGTGCTGGGCAGCTTGCTCCATGTGCCTCAAGGTATGATGCGGTTCAAGAGAGAAAACTCGAGCTATCAGTGTGTCTTTTCGTAGGTGGCTTAGGTAAGGTACCTACGTAGGTAGCGTCGGCACCTGAGCTTCCCTGCCACACTGCCCCAAGGTAACTAACTGGTGAAGAAGGAAGCGATGGTGGTTCTGCCTACAAAGCTTGTGGTCGACACACGTGGGGCTTTCCTTCGAGAGCATACCTAGGATTTCGTACAGGCTACCAGTCATCAGGATCCTGTCGTGACATCACCGTTCAACGTCGGTAGGTACCTTAAGTTCCTTAAAGTGTGAGGCAGGTGGGAGATGGCAGGCTCTAGCTACACGGGTGGGTCCTGGCTGGGCTCTAAGCTACCTTCAGCATGACTTCCGCAGCAGAACCGCAAGGAAGACCTTAAATAATTCAAATCTGTAACATTATACTTATATTCTTACTACAGTTTCTATTAAAGACCTCGAAATAATATAGGTTGTATTAAAATCTCAGTCTTTTAATAATATATTTATAAAACTGTTTAAAAGTTAGTTAGCAATAAGACTATAATTATGTTATACATTAATATAAATATTAATAGAGAAAATAGACTTATACTTCTGTTCACTGTTCCTAGTTCCGAATTTCTTTTTCTAAAGGGGTGGGGGTTAAGAGAAAATTAAATTCCATTGGCATTGATGGTGGGGGGAGAAGTTCTAGGGAACGCCTCCACTAACTACCCCCCTCCCCCTTGCGACCTGAGAATGGCCCATCGCCAACAGGTCCACGTGCCATTTCAGCCGTCACACGAAACCGTTGTTCTTTTTTTCTTCTTAAGACGATCCGCAATCACAGCTGCTTTGCCATAACCAGGTGTTTCCAGCTTTAGCTCCCGTCCCGTCATCCGAAGTTGGCACGCCGCCACATGATCCCGACATCCATCACCAAAGCCAAAAAACCTCAGTTGACAAACCCCCAGCCCATCGCTCACTCCCCCTCGGCGTAAGGTTGACCTCTCCGAGCCTCCACCTCTCGGTGTTTCGCCTCTCCTTTAAGTCGTCTCCCAGGAGCTATGGACTGAGCGTTTCCTCGACGTCTTTTCTTACTACAAGTCAGCCTTGCACCTTCTCGTCGTTGTCGGATCCATTCAACAAGTGGCAGTGGCCGTCAAAGCCAACATGTTGCCATTCATTCATAAGCGTACGTATCATGCGCCCTCGACTAACATCTTCTCGATTGTTTCCATGTTGGCTTCTTCCACTACCGAAGCCTCTCTTGCTAACTTTGCTTGACTATGCAGCTTTCGAGCTTCTCGCTTCGCGCATCGGCGCATCTCCAGACGAACGTCGGTCCCTCCTATCAAGCTCGATTACATGGCGAAGCTCTTCGAACCCTCGTCCCCAACAGAGCACCAGCACTAATACCTCGATTTTACAGTCAAGCTCGTCTTCTCGTTCCTCATATCATACCCACTAGCCGGCTTACTCAAACGAGTTCCCGACTCTAGGCCTGACCTCAAAAACCTCTTCATAATAAGGTATGCTTTCCAGCAGATGCCCACACCTGTCTTCCTACTGGCCTTGTTGTTGACACTTTGGCTCTTGGGATAGTACCTCCACTTTCTATCTGGTCGGCCTTTTCGACTTGTGGGATGGGGTGCGCACTCTTGCCATAGCCTCCGCCGGCATCTACAGCATTGCGAAGTACCTGCGCACTAGCCCATTCATGCCATGGATTGGCTTCTCGTTTCTCATGGGGCATATGTCCATAAGTCACATCGCTCGTCAAGTGGCCAACAGCCCGTCTTCTGTCGATATTACTGGCGCCCAGATGGTACTTCTGATGAAGCTTAGCGGTTTCTGCTGGAACGTTGCCGATGGTCAGCTGCCGGACGACCAGGTATCTGATTACCAAAAGGAAAGAAGATTGATCGAACTTCCAAGTATAATGGACTATGCCGGATACGTACTATTCTTCCCTTCGCTCTTCGCCGGACCTGCCTTCGACTATACCGACTATCGCAAATGGATAGACACCACAATGTTTGACCTTCCGGCCCAGGTCGATCCCTCAAAGAAGCCTCCTGTCAGGAAGAAGAGAAAGATCCCTCGGAGTGGCACACCTGCTACTTTGAAAGCCGCTAGCGGCCTGGGGTGGATTGCGCTCTTCATGATTCTCTCTGGTTACTTCCCAATCACCTACTTAACGAGCCCTGCGTATATGGATCATGGGTTCTTCCACAGGGTCTGGATTCTTCACATGGTCGGGTTTACGGCCCGTTTGAAATACTACGGAGTTTGGTGCTTGACCGAGGGCGCTTGTATCTTGGCAGGCCTGGGCTATAATGGCGTTGATCCTGTTACCGGCAAAGTGTCATGGAACAGATTACAAAACATCAACCCCTGGGGTGTCGAGACAGCCCAAAATACGCGCGCCTACCTTGGCAACTGGAATATCAACACCAATAACTGGCTGAGGAACTATGTATACCTTCGGGTCACGCCTGTTGGAAAAAAGCCTGGATTCCGCGCCAGCCTTCTCACGTTTAGTACCAGTGCCCTCTGGCACGGCTTTTATCCCGGCTATTACATGAGCTTCATCCTCGCCAGCTTCATTCAAACCGTAGCCAAGAGTAAGTGCACCTTTTAGAGAGTCGCTAGAGAGCCAAGGCGAGCGCTATGATGGACTAACGACTGATTATAGACTATCGCCGCTACTTTCGGGCTTTTTTCCTGGACGCGAGCAGCGGTGCGCCGACTTCCAACAAGATCTACTACGACATCGTCTCGCTTTTCGTTACTCAAATCGGCATGTCTTTCGTTGTCAGCCCTTTCCTTGTGCTAGAGTTCTCCGGCTCGGTCCAGGTGTGGGCTCGTGTCTATTTCTATACCATAGTCGGCACTGTGCTTTCCATGGCCTTCTTTGCGTCTCCGGCAAAACAGATCCTTCGCAAGCAACTCGAGGCACGTCAAGGCAAAGGCGGTGCCAAGCTGACCCGTACCCTGAGCTCAGACAGTCTTTCAGGCCGGGAACCGGTCTTGGGTGTGTCGGCCGACCCTCAGCGGGAGATCGACGAGGCCATGGAGGAAATCAAAGCCGAGGTGGAAGCTAGACAAAGAAGCAAAGCTGCTTAAAGACACTGATAAGGGCGCCATCTCTGTAGAAAATTGTTCTTATCTCCGTCTAGAGGCCCCTGTTCCTGCACATGCGAGAACAACGTTAATGGAGGAAGAGCTATCGTCAAAGATGCGAATTGGGCGAGTCATTGTGGTGTACGAAACCCTCAAAGGGAAGGCCATTAGACATTGCAAGCTATGCAGATCTAAAACGAAACCATTATAATATGATGTCTATATCCCACAACAGTAACGTGATGCCACTGTCTGGCTTGTCTCAAACCACCCAACACCAATGCCAGCATGTTGACTCCCGTGTAAAGCCAAGGGGGGTATCGTCAAGCAATCCAAGTCGCCCAACGAGAAAATCAAAAGGAAATACCATCATGTTGTCATCAGGGGTACGGCCCAATCTGGCCAGGTGTACAATTACAGTGGACTATATAAGGCTCGCAGGCATCGTTGTGCGGAGCCATTAGAATAGATGGTAGAAATGGCCGGATGGTCGGCTGCCGAGAGAACTTGGTATGTGCATGTCTATATGAGAAAAAAATAACTGATGTCGTATATTCGTGAAGGGATTAAGTCGTTACCCCAGTCGTAATGCCGATGCGCTGAATTTCAACGGCCAATGATGCTTTTGATGAGTACTCATTTTTTCGCCGAGGCCGAAAGCTGATTATCGCGGCGTGTTCGAGCCACAGACCTATTATTCGAGGTGGTGCATAGAGCTAGAAAGGAGGTGACAGGGAACAGGCGGCTACGCCATTTGGCCCCAGCCTTGCTTTACGCCGACGACAACGAGAGCCGCAATGGCGCCGACGACGAGAAGACCGATGACGGACATGTACCTGTTAAGTGCACGCCACCAACGGGCGCTTTGGAAGAGGGTCTCGTCGACCGCTGCAACTCGCCGAGGAAGGCCTCGTTCTTCATCTATCAGGCTTGATCTAGGGTCGCGCTCGGCCATCTCAGCTTGAGGGTCTGGGGGCAGCGGAAGGAAGGCAGCAATCATCCATGCTGGGTAGTGTTAGCCTTGCTATACAATGCCGTTAAGTAGGAGTGCCTCACCAAATGGGAATATAAATCCCAGAGCGAAGAAAGCAACTTGCACGTTTCGCTTGCCCAGCATGCTTGTCTCGCCAGACCACGTCATGGAAGGTGGCTCCCAGATGCTGTGACGACCTGCCCTCTGATCACGCCGCAAGTGGGGTGACCAGATGCTGGATGTTTTCTTTCTTAACCCGCTGCGCATTCGGTTATCCGTTAACGGCGCTTGGTTGATCTCCATGGAGCCGACATCTGACAATGGCCGAGGGTTGGCAAGATTTACCTCCCTTGGCCGCCGCCTGGGGCTGTAGATGTTCATGGCGAGCTGTTCGACACTGGGGGAATGGCTTTGGAACGAGCTGGGTGGCCGGCTGTCGTTCGGATCCGACATCATCGAGTCTCCTGAGCTGGCAAGGAATCGACGTTCCCCGCTCCCGTAGTAGAACCTATAAGTGGGCGATTACGTTAGCCTATGGCCCAATTTCTGAGATCACACTGCTTCCTGCAGGATATCGGGTTCACTTACTTGGCCCAAGTCGGAATGGACGCCGAGTTAAGGCTATTCGCACGGGAGCTACTAGAGGAGTGAAGGTTCCGATCCGATGAGGAACTCGAGAAGAAGCTTGAAAGGCCGGTCCGTGAAGGACGTTGATGAAGCTGGTTCAGCTCTGCCAGGCCGTCGCCATGTTCATCTCGGTCGGTAACCATACGAAGCGTGTTCCCTCTGCTGTGTGTAGCTTGAGGACGTTCGAGAGAATCCGTGAAGGATCTTGAGTGAGAAAGTGAGCGCTCCTCGTTGGCAGCTAGCGACGATGAAATGCTGAGCATCTGCCGGCTATGGCTGCTCAAAGGTATGCTACCCCGTCTTCCAGGCACAGACCATGGTGACACGGAACGTGAAGGAGGCTCGCTGTCCCCCTCACTCTCCGAAATAACGGTGGATAGTTGTGAGCTCCATTGGTGAGGATGGGTGGTCATGTGGGATTCAGCAGGAACAGAAATGGGGGCGGGCTCCGTTGGCGCAGCTTGCGCGTCAGGCTGCCGACCTGGCTGGCTGGCCAGAACACGGGATCGATAAAATGCGGCAGGAGATGCCAGGAAACTCTGGGCTGCTTCGAGAGTGAGTGAGCCAGAAATCGACTTCACCGACGCTGCACGGCGTAAAGAATCCCTCGATCGCGACTTGTAATATCCAAACCTCTCGTTGGACCTCTTCTTCGCCTTGTAGGGTTTCAGCGGGGCCACCAAAAGGCTTTCCTGCGAGTACTCGGGCCTGATACGGGAACGACGGCTAGAGGCTACAGATGATGGTGCTGGGGACGATGCGCCGAGCACAACGTAGTTTTGTTCGCTATCGGCCGTCTTTGGGGGACTTCTCTCGGCAGAAGAAGGCTCTGGAGGTGAAGACCGGCCGAGAACTACGTAGTTGGAGTGACTCGATGATGGCGGCTGCAACGACTCCTCTCGTTCGGGCGAAGAAGGTAAGCTGGAGCCGAACACCTTGTAGTTTGTCGTCTCTGAGGTCGTCGATGGAGCATGTAAAACGCTGTCGGCGTCGGTTGCTTGGGGTGAATTGGAGCCGTAGACTTTGTAGTTGGTCTTTTCTGAAGACGTGGACGCAGTGACGGATGACTGAAAGGAGGTTTTAGGCTGCAAATCGTGGGGGTCGGAAGATTCAGACGAATCGGTGGTAGGGGCCTCTGGCAGCGGCGCGAGTCGAGAGCCTGATGGGGATGACGGGTAGGATGGGGCTGGATCGGATTCCGGGTAGAGTAGCGTCGACTTTTGCTTCTGCTTGAGATCGGGAGTATTGGGAACCTTGCGTAGGCCACCGACCATTCGATAGTTCCAGGGCGACGACGAAGACCCGGCTGTGCTAGTAATAGAATCACCTGCTAATTGCGTGGTCGAGGATGCCGGGGTTAACGTGGATGCAAAGCTTTGATCCGGGTAGGAAGTAACGGTTGAGCTGGGACGATTTTCACTGAAGGCGTCTGAAAGGCGCTCATGCGAGGCGGTAGTCGAAAGTGACAGCCTTGGGGCGGTGCTAGAGGCATGGTCTCCTTGGGTTCCGGCCCGCTGCCCCTGAGGCAAGAGGGAGAAGGTCTTGCCGTCGGCGTTGAGCGTAATGAGATTGCGACGGCGGGACAAGGGGCGCTTCGCTGAGGGTGTGACAGGCTCGTTGTCGGCGCTGCGCTGGGTAGACCGGGATCGTGCATTAACGTGGGAAATATCAGTCTGATGTGGTGGAGTGGTAGGGACAGGGGTGGTGGGGGACGATTCGTCGCCGGGCAAGGAGTCGGATCGCAGTTTCGAGCCTGAAACACCGCTATCCCTGGCGCTCACCAATGGGAAGGTTGAAGAGGCTGGCGATAGCACTGAGGTTCGTGTGCTAGAGGATTGAGACCGTCTATGGGAATAGCGGTCGCTGGCACGGCTGGCGGTGCGGTCGTCGGTCCATGAAAAGCTGGTGTGATCGTAAGCTGAAGGGTTTGGAGAAAGCAGTGCGGTGGTCGAGGTCGGAGTGCGTGATGATGAAGCCGAGGCGGTCGAATCTCGATTTTTGTCGCTTGGACGAGGCGGGCTGTAGGGGACGATGCGGATGGCTAGGGAGTTGGACTGGGAATTGGAGCGCTCATGTAGCGGCCTCCGATGGGACCGGGAAGGGCTGCCCCGGGAGGGGCTCCCGGACCCGGACCCGGACATGCTCCGTGAGGGGGCTGCGGGAAGATGGAGAAACCGGTGGCTTTCGCAGATGAGCGTAAGCGTCGAGGCGGGTGGTCTTGGTCGGCGTGGGGTATCCGGGCCATGGAGTGCGAGTGGCACCCAAGCTTAACGGGGGATAAGACGATTGCGGGAGCAGGCGGGGGCCGAGCGCAATATGATTCTCGGAGCGGCTGACTCGCAGAGACCAGCACGGCTACGGTGAACAATTGTTACGGACACCGATCCGGTCTGTGCTCTAGCTATCTCGAATTGAAGTGCGGTAAGGAACAATCACGGTTGGCTTTGATTGTGTAAATTCCGGCAGTCGTGGTCATGCGGCGCCGTTAAGGAGTGGTGTATGTGTGGAAGTAGTTGGTTGTTATAGCTTGGGGTCAAATTGCGTAGTGGTTTTCAAATTTCCTGAGGGGATCGCCTCGAGATGGGCTTCGTCGAGTCGGATGCGTCCAATGTCGTCGGGGAACCGGAGAGATTCTAAGTTGTTCCGACTTGAGTGGGTTGGCCTAGATGAAAATGGTTGAAGTTCATGGGAGGGCGGGTCCTCTTCATTAAGGTAGTTGAACGAATGTGTAGTGATTGAGAGAGTGTCGTCGATGGATGGCGCGTGGCGTTGCGTGACTGGCTTTTTTGTCGATGGTTTGCGTGTGTTGCGTGTGGAGTGGCCGCAGTATCCAAAATTGGGTGATCGAGTGAGTGATTGACTGGGTTCGAGGTGATGCGTGAGACAAGGTACTATAGTGATAAAAGATACTGGTAATGAACAAGAAGAATGGAAAAAGGCAAAGAAAAGACGTCACGAGGGACAAATGAGGGTGGGTGATTATTACAGGCGAAATGGCCTTGAGATGCAACTGAACAGACGAGACAAGAAAAAGACGTCGGCAAGCACGACGAAAGATGGGCAGGCAAGCCGGAGGGGAGAGAGAGAGAGAGAGAGAGAGGGCGAGAAGGAAGGGAAAAGAAGGGGAAAAATCTCGGGAGCGTAAGGTAAGAAGAGGAGTGAAAAGACGAGAAAAGACACCACGACCACTCGGTATGGGCAGACGACATTAAGGTACCTTCAGGTGGGCACCTCTAGACTCTGGCTGCCATTGCTATGGAGGTGGGCAAGAAGCTCTAGCCTCCTCCCCCCCTCTGGGTTTCTGGTGCAGCCAGCGGTGGTGCTCTGCAAGCCTGCAAGTGCAAGGTGAAGGTGACTGTGTGTGTGGGAGAGATAGGCACGCCAGGCTAGGTACGGGCACCAGGCCCGCAGTGAATGACCGGGGTGAAGCAGCAAGTGCAGGGTATCTTGCAGGTGATGGCTGCCCGTGGTGAAGAGCTAGACAGGGTAACAGGGCAGGGCCAGGAGGAGGAGAGGAACGAACGAGTGGGAACTTGGGAGCAAACCAGGGCAGGAGCCGAGAGGAAAGCAGGGAAAGAGAAATGGATGGTGTTTCCTCTCAAGTATCCGTACCTATGTGCGAAGTACGATGTACTCCGTACGTGCCTGCCAAAAGCCTCAAGGCAGGTAGGTAATGGAAGAAGGCGAGGAAGGTACGGAGTACGAAGTAAGGTATGATCAAGTGCACCTGGCAGGTAAGGTAAGGTAGGAAGGAATCGTTGCCAGCCACTAACCTCGCTTTCCCCCCTTTCAATAACTACTCTTTGCTCCCCTTCTGCGTTCGAGTTGAGATGCAAGAACCAGCCAAGCGGCTATTGCTCGTAACTCAGAGCTACCTTAGGCTTGATATCCCCTTTTAGTCGCAAGGCGCAAGTCGCAAGTCGCAAGTCGAAGCCAAGCTGACGTTTTCTGTCAGAAAGAGACTCCGGGTCTCACGCAGGTCCGACTCCTGATTCCTGACGGCGCGACGACAATGGCTGCTCGCTCAAGCGGAAGTGGGCGCTGGCTGTGGAAAAGGCGGTCGAGGGCGTTGCGTCGTATGGATAATGGGGACTTCTGCACAAAAGTTATGAGATATCGACGATTGTTGCCGAGTACGCCGTACATACACCAGGTACGAAGTACAGACAGAGTGCTGCGCCTTCGAATTTGTATGGTATGCTGCACTGCACCGGGCACAGACGACTCTACGCCGGGTTGGGGGCTGAATGAGCAACTTGACTGGCTAGTTGACCTCGAATGACCTGAAAGCCTGTCTCTTGCTCGTCCTCTCGTTCAGGCTTTAGCAACACGTCCAGCCAGCCTCGAATTGGCAGTGGTCGAATGAGCGGCAGGGTCGGGCCTCGACACTTGACACCCTCCAATGGTAGCCGACCAGGGCTGTTCTCCAGAGACTCGAGACTCGAACCGGATCAGGGGGTTGGAAGTTGGGCCAGGCGGCCAGACTTTTGCGCGGCAATGGTTGATGGCGGCTATGCAGTACACTATATTCGTCCGTAGGCAGGTCGCAGCGCCCGTCTGTAAGTGGAAGTCGGCCGGGCTGGCTTGAGCCGGAGAACCAGGGGGCGGCGGCGACGGGAGACGCAACTGGCTAGAGTCTCTCCGAGACGATGGGCGACGCGGAATCGTGTATTGGTAGGAAAGGGGGACTGTTCGATAGCCGTTACGTCGTGTGGGGATCGGCCCTGGGGTTGGTTGTCTGATGCACCGCCAGCTGTCCTTCAATGGAACGAACCACGTCCTTTATCTTCACCAGCTGATTTCAACAAGAGAAAGGAGGAAGAGGAGGGCAGCGGTGTGATACGGCCATGGCATGGCGATGGGGTCGAGGCCTTTTTGACACACGGGTGCTCATTGCAATATCCGACAGCAGCACCTATCTATTATTATTATGCCCTTCCGACGTCGACGTGGTTCGCGAAGTCTGACGAGGAAAACAAAACAAACCGCCGCCGTGAGGAACACCCGATCTAAGGCCACACCAAGGAGCTCCCTGGGCGGTGAACGAGCACAAGGTCTGGATGACCCAGCCAAGGACGACCGCTCGACGGCGCCACTCAAGGAAAACGACTAGAAGGTCAAGGACGGCCTGGGCTGAGACGCGGCCTTGGGTAAACTTGTGAAGCTACCATATCACACGGATGGTGCCGCACTAATTAGTGACCGATGTACTCCGTAGGGCAAGGAAGACTGAAACTACTCTATAGCCTAGCATGCGAGATATGGGATTGGGGGTATCATGCACCGTAGTGTACCTACCCAAAGTAATGGGAAGATATTATAGGTGAGGTACGCATACTTAAACCTTGGGATACCATGACTAACCGGCAGATGGAGCCGATCGCGGAGCATCATGCTTGTTGATTAGTACGGTTAAAGTGAATGTGGAAAAAGAAACGCTCCCCCAAATTACAGTCTTGGAGATGGGAGAAAACAACGGGCAGGCTCCCGCTCAACTTCTGTTTAGAGCACGTCCTTTACACCTAAAGTAGCGCGCGTCCATGGCCTTGGAAGTTGAGCAACACGGACGTTTGAACGGAGCCCCAAGACATAATGGAACACAGAGAAGCAAAGGTTTCTGCGGGCATTAGAACAACTTCCATGTGTTGAACCACTCGGTTCTCTAAGGCTCGGGGCACCCATCCTCGAGCTGATTAGCTCCCGCTCTCCGCGCCATGTCTGTGAGAGAAACTGAGAAGACGGATTCCTACGTGCGGTCCACGGCGTTGAATCCAATCAAAATCCCCACCATTATTCTTCCCTCACCCATGCTTGTTCGATTCTACATCCCCTTGTTCCCTGTCAATCCACCCAGCTTCTTGGGTCTTTGATGACGAGTTGTACACTAGAGAACCAGCAACAACTCACTGAGAACAGAGATGTTGGCACGTTGCGGATACATCATCCCATGTATCCATAAGTATGAATAGTGTATTTAAACCGTTTAAGTTGGTTCGCCTCGGTGAAGCAGGGTTGCCCGGAGGCAAGGAGCCTAGACATTAATAACTCATCATGAGCCCAGAAAGACCGCACCTAGTCCAAGGTGAACTGAGACATGCCTAGCTCATCAACAACACGAAGCTCAAAAACTTCTCGCCATAAGCATCCGTGCCCACTGCCCTCGCTGTTCCAAGACTGTCAGTCCCTTCCAACCACCAACACCTTTGTTTGGACACTGGCCTCTGCTGCTGCAGTGACGGGCGGCCAGACGGTGGCCTGAGTCCACGCCGTCGCAAGTGTACGGATATAGCCTGCATTGGCGAGTCGCCGTGCCCTGTCATCCGGTGCGCCGTGCTGCACTGACTTCGGTTGGCAAGATGAAGAACCCACCGGGCACTCTCTGTTCAGAAAGTCCAGCGCCGGCATCAGCGGAGGTTGGCATTTACAAGACACAAGTATTGTCAGTGGTCAGAAACGGGCCCCGGGGCCTCAATGGCCGTCATCTCAAGACCATAGCTTAGCTCTGGCGGTAAGATGCAGGGTGCAACCTGGAGTGGAACAGACCAGCCCGCTAAATCGCAGCTAAAGTCGTGTGTTCTGTTGTTACATCGTTGTTTTCCATTCCTTTCTTCCTACCTTAGTGGGCGGGCTTCTAGAAAAACTCAACTCTGCTCTTCCCTAGCAACAGCAGCAGCATGAGCGTTTGAGATGCGCGGGGAACCCAAAGAAATGGCGTGGGCGGCTTCGAGGCGCTTATCACTACCTTCTGCCTCAGCGTGGTTGGTTGTCGTTTCTAGGCCGTAGCCGCTGCGGCAAGTCCAGACTCCAAACTGCAAGTGTTGAGCCAAACATTCGAGTGAAACTAAAAGAAAGGATATCCGTACCTTGGCCGAAGCCGCGCCTAGGTTGCACCTTGGGGAACCAGGTGCCAGCTGGCGCGGGTGGATCTCATCCCATGCTCGTCGAATATTTGATGAGGTGCGGAGCTCTTTTTTTTTTTTTTTTTTTTTTTTTTTTTTTTTTTCGAAAACTAGCACAACTTGCACTATTACGATGCCGCGGCTGCAGAATTACAGAGAGCTCGCGGGGATAAAATTTTGCCACTTTGTTGACTATCTTACCGAAAGTGAAAGTGTTGTAAACAATCCCGGGATACAGGGCACAGTTCCAATTTGAATCGCTAATAAGGACCTGACGAACCCCCCGTCTTGATCCGAAAATCGCAAAAGGTTTGTGCGCTACACGAGGGACCAGTAAACTCTTCGTGCCTCTCACTCACAAGTTACACCGACTGGCTCGCAACGGTGGACGGCGATGGCGGTCGTCGTTGACAGTCGTCGTTGACAGTGCTCGGTGACCCGTTGCTGTGAAGACGGGGGAAAGCTTCAAACACTCGCCCGCTTCACGATTACCCCGGCTGTATCTGAGCTCAGCCCTTGTGTGAGAATTGCAGTGCACGAAGTACCTCGTACAGAATCTGGATAATATTGATAATTATGTCGGCGTCGATATTGCTGAATCGTGTGCCTGCAGGAGTGGATGCACATGGCAAGGAAACAAAAGTTGGACCCTCTCGCGTGGACGGAGACGAGAGTCGTCTCCATGGATGATTGCACAAATAAAGATGTCGTGAGGTGCGAGGCGGACACAGTGGGAATGCTGCGGATACGCCGTTCAGACTCCAGAGCACTCCATACTGATAAACGCAAAAGTATGCAAGATGCCAGAACGGCTGAGGCCGCGATGCATGCTGGACGGCTGGAGTCTGAAGAAACTGGTGAGAGTGATTAATTTCCATGGGTAGCCTTCTAGGGGGCTGCGATGGGGTCGGGCTTCCTTCTCATTGGCAACATGTTTCTCTGTAAGAACCTCCAATTGACTCTTTTGATTGGTCATTCATCTCTGAGGACCTTTGGTTCTCGGCTGCCAATTGTGCCTCGTCATCCGGTCACAATCCCCTTTGTCCATGGGTAATGCCACGACACCGACGGGGCGCGTCCATCTCGCGGACACTTCGCGTTTGCACTGTTCAGCATATTGTCGGTGTCCTTTCAGGCTTTCCCTCCTGCATGCAGTAGTGTCCCCAGAGGCGTCGTAGACTCGTAGTACCAGTGCGCTACTGCACAATAGTCTGCAGGCACAAATTGAATGATGGACACTGCGGTCTGCAGGTGTCTGACAGCTCAGCATCCAATTTCCCAATCCGAAAGCACGACGCAGGGGCATTTCCATTCTTGAAAGTTGAAGGTGAGCTCCAATGTCAATATCTTGCTCCTCCACTGTTTTGCTGTGCTTCGCTTGGGCGTGGACTTTGTGGGGCCGAGGAAAGCGAGAAAGGATCGATTTCCTTTGGTGACACAGTGACAGTTGGACACAGCTGCGAGTATCCGTAAGGCAGGACAGGCACCTTCTGCTCCACTAGAAAGTCCGATCGATTATGTAATTTCCTCACTTCACCTCTCCCGGGACGTGATACCTTGGTGAATGGAAGAGACAATTAAGGGGAGAATCATAGCCATTTCGTCACGCAACCGACGGATTGGCAGTGAAGTGCCGAGTTGAACCTCCATTACCACAGATATCTCGTGCATGCAGTTGCGTCGGCGGTGCTCATCATGACTTCGACCAATAACCCAGACTTGGGGTCTGCCAAAAGTCTTCCCGGAACCGCTCCAGTCCTACAGCCGTTGATGGCCTGCGCGATGCTGGTATGGCGAGGGCTTCCTCATCTTCTTCACTCCTGCCGAGGTAAATGTTCAGCCACCACTAACTCGCCTGTTCAGGTCGTATATACGGCAATTTACGTGGCGCCTCTCTACATTTCGCCTGCCAGCCGCCCATCACCAACACTTTCGAGGGACGACCCTGTGGTCATCCGCACACGCATCAGATCTGTTCTATTCTCTACCGCATCATGCTCCGCCCTGACGTACATCATCCTGGCCCGTCTAACTGACGGTGCTCTGCCTTATGGACCACTTCATGCAATGGGATACTGGCCCATTGGCGTACTCGAGTCTGCAAAATGCCTTCTCCTTACGGCGATCCTGTTCGCTGCTCCGCTCTACGAGACTCTTCTCATAGACGGCGTTTGGGAAGACTGGCGCGGTCTTGGCCCCATCACCCGTATCTGGACGCAGTTGACAACCTGGCGGAACATTGTCATGGTAAGTTGCATCAAGGAAGCCTCAGACGTATCTTTTGCTCCATTTCTAGAGATGCTAATGTGAGATGAAGGGACCTTTGACCGAAGAGATGCTGTTCCGTTCTGCCTCTGTGCCGTTGATGCTCTGCGCTCGCATGTCATTGACACAAACCGTCTTCCTGTCTCCGGTCATATTTGGCTTTGCACACGTCCATCATTTTTATGAATTCCGCATCTCTCACCCCAAGGTGCCCCTGGTCGCTGCCGTGGCCCGCTCAGTCCTCCAGTTCACCTACACGTCTCTCTTCGGCGCCTATGCCACATTTCTTTTCCTCCGATCAGGAAGCCTACTAGCCATCGTGCTGGTGCATGCATTCTGCAATGCGATGGGCCTACCCCGTTTCTGGGGGGCTGTCGAGCCTTACTGGTACGTCAGTGGACACCACACGCCAGCTGATGGTCGAAAGTGGACGGTGATTTACTATGTACTTTTATTCGCCGGGGCCATTACTTGGTGGAAAAGTCTGTTTCCCATGACCCAGACTTCAGCCAGCCTTTTTCCGCAGGGATTCTGAGGTGCGTTTTGGTTGTAAATACACTAGATACAGTCCTAGCAATGAACACGTCACGTCTTCATATCAATATCTAGCCCCGGCATGGCGCCGGGTATCGTCAACCCGTCGTCACTACGCATCCTGCGTCGACGTAGTGAATCGTGCTCCCGACCTGTCTGCGTCCTCGCCTCGGCTTCGACCTCTCTTCGAGCTTCTGCGCGGAGGTTCGGGTTGATATCTTTCCCCTTCGCCCTGCTCACTGACGCGTTGATCTCGGCGGCCAGCCCATCTTCAGGGCCCCTCGTGTTCTTCTTGCGCGGCCACATACTCGGCAGGGCGATCTCCTGAAACCGTGGCTCCACGCATCGCTCGTCGAACCAACGGTGTAAACGCGACTCGATCAGTTGGGCGATTTTGGGCACATCTTGAAGCCTTGAACGGCTTCCGAGAAGGCTTCGAATTGACAGGTCAAGGCGGTAATCATCCATGAAGCTGAAAGTCATCATGGTCGGCGTAGATTGTGAGGGGTTGCTCGGGATGAAGGAAATTGACAATGTGCCGCTGAACCTTACGACGGAGACTGAGAGTGCTACGGGCAGCACGGCACTGAGGTTCTTGGGGTAGTTGAGGAGAAGCTTTGTCTCGAGGGCGAGAGTGAGCATGTCGCTAAGGTCAACGTCCATCCGAGCCTGCAGCTTCGCGCCATCTCTCGTTGCGGCGCTTGCGTTGAGAGTTCTCCCGCTGCCCAGATTCAGCCCGTCTTCATCAACGGGTATGACTCGACAATTACTGAAAATCGGGAAGTCCTCTCCTAGGCTCAGCTCCGTCACACGGATCTCGTCTACAAAGTCGGGCCTCGATCCTCCGTTTAGTGCCTTGGTGAGAGAGCTCAAAATGGCATCGTCATGCTGCGCATCGCTTCGAAACTGGGCGATTGTTTGGGCCACGAGGACGTTGAACCAGTCCAAACTCTCTGGCTGGTGACTGTCGACGTTGTAGTAGGTTTTGCTGAGGATGGAACCGATGGTCAGATTCGGAGGGTTCCGGAGGACGCTCGACTTCTTCCGGTTAAGCGTCTGCTGGCCATGCTTTGCGTTTGCTGTCCGAAGACTGAGGAGAGAGCGCTTATGAGCCAAGGTCCTTGATCGACGTTCTGTTGCTCTCAGTGATGCTGTCACCTCTGGCGAGGGAGGGTCGCCGAAGATGAAGAATTTGATGAAGGCGGCCAGAACGAGAACAACTGATAGTTGGCCGAGAATAAGTCCCTGCGTGAATGAGAGACTATGTTGCTAGTTAGCACGTAATCATTTGAAGAGCAGCAGGTGTAAGGATGAAGAACTGACGTTGGCTCTGCCTTTGCTGGGCAAGTGTCAGCGGAAAGGCCTGACATCGTGATGGTGACCGACGATGTATCGGTCGATGCTTAGAAGACGACACTCTTCTAATATGTGCTCATCGGGGACGAAGTACAAGATTATAAGTGAAGACTTGGTCGTTGTGAGGTAAGAAAACCTGTGAGATGCTGCATGAATGTCACAGTGAAGTGCCTCCCGGTCTTAGGTTGTTTGACTAACAGTTTTGACACTGTGGAGTGACCTGAACGGTACTGCTTGTAGGATCCACAGCTGACCCGAATAGGCTTAAGGTAGCCACTATGTCAGGCGTTCTGGCCACGCTCATACCGCGGGAGTTTCCACTGTTGCGTTGAAGTATATAATACCATTCAACGTTTACGCAACATCACCACATTCATGTCATAAAGAGAAATAAAGAGTGAGAATGGTTGAAATTAAATCCCTCTCCAAATTCAGCACCGTGGTTCCAACACCTAAAAATCTGGTGGCCTGTCCAGCTGTTGCGTTCAACCTCTAGAAGGCTGGTAGGGATGTGGAAGTACCTGCGGTCGAAGGTACTTTACCAAGGATGTGGTACCTAAGGTACGCATGCACGCGAGGCAGGGAGCTCAGGCAAGCTGTCCCAGTCAACTCCGCCATCTGCGAACGACATCGATTCCGCTCATCCAGCGATTCATCTTATTTCATCAACGACACAACACAGCCGAATGCCATCCACGCCGAGAGAAGTAACATCTCTCATATAGCATTGATTGCTGTTCCCATCTTATCGCCACCACCAGCCGAAGACCTACCCATTGGGCATCTCCCATCCTTGGCTCTATCGAACACGCTTCACCACGTAATCGACCTTTGCGCTCTGCGCCGCTGGTCAATATGGACGTGGCACAAGCAGTGGCCGGCTATGTCTCTCGAATGATTCAGTCCGCTGATTCCTCATCGACGACACAGTCGGCAAAGATGAAGGTTCTGCTGTTGGACCGCGAGACAGTTCCTATTGTGTCCACTGCCATCACCCAGTCAGCACTACTGAACCATGAGGTTTATCTCATTGATCGTATAGACAACGCCAACAGAGAGAAGATGCGCCACCTGCGGTGTTTATGTCTCGTACGACCCTCGCCAGACTCCATCCAGCTCCTGATTGATGAGTTACGGGAGCCAAAATACGGAGAGTATCATCTGTATTTCACCAACGTTGTCAAGAAGTCATCACTAGAAAGACTTGCCGAGGCTGATGACCACGAGGTTGTCAAGTTGGTCCAGGAGCAATTTGCCGACTTCATTGTTATCAACCCCGATCTGTTCTCACTTGGACTCAGCCTTCCCCATCAGCGTCTGTGGGGCAGCAACCCAGACACGTGGAATCCAGACGCCCTGCAAAGAAGTGCCGACGGACTTGTTGCTGTGCTTCTTGCACTCAAAAAGAAACCGCTTATCAGATATTCCAAGACCAGCCCACTCACCAAGAAACTGGCTACGGAAGTGCGATATCGTATTACACAGGAGGAGCAACTTTTCGACTTTCGGAAGGTGGACACGCCCCCTCTTCTCCTCGTACTCGACCGGCGCGAGGATCCCGCAACACCTCTTCTCACCCAATGGACATATCAAGCCATGGTGCATCATCTTCTCGGTATCACCAACGGCCGAGTTGACCTGAGCGATGTGCCTGACATTCGCCCGGAGCTAAAAGAGATTGTCTTGTCGCAAGACCAGGATCCTTTCTTCAAGAAGAACATGTATCTCAACTTCGGTGACTTGGGCGGGAATATTAAAGACTACGTGGAGCAATACCAATCCAAGACACAAAACAGCTCAAATATCGAGTCGATATCTGACATGAAGCGCTTTATCGAGGAATACCCTGAGTTCCGCAAGCTATCTGGAAATGTTAGCAAGCACGTCACCTTAGTCTCGGAGTTGAGTAGACGTGTTGGCGCCGAGAATCTGCTCGAAGTCAGTGAGCTTGAACAAAGTCTCGCTTGCAACGACAATCATGCGGCTGACCTCAAGGTACGTATCAGTGACAACAGCGCGACTTCCCAGTGTAGGTATCAGAAGCTGACTCTTCCCATAGAACATCCAAAAGCTCATTCAGTCTCCAAAGGTGACAAGCGACAGCAAGGTTGGCTTAGTCGCCCTCTATGCGCTACGATATGAGCGCAACCCGTCCAACGCACTCCCCATGCTCGTGGACCTCTTGGTGGCCGCAGGCGGGGTTTCGGTCCGGCGAGCAGATCTCATCTCCAAGCTAGTGAAGTATCAATCTTCATTACAGCAATCGCAGGCTCAAGCAGGCATTGCAGACATTTTCGAGGGGGGTGGCATCTTTGGAGGAGCCGGTGCCCGGTTCAAGGGGCTAAAGGGTGTTGAGAACGTTTATACACAGCATAGCCCTTTACTTGAAAGCACGCTTCAGAATCTGATCCGGGGGCGACTGAAAGAACAGCAGTATCCATTTGTCGAGGGCGGAGGGACTACTCGAGATAAGCCGCAAGACGTTATTGTCTTCATAGTTGGCGGAGCAACGTACGAGGAGGCTAAGATGGTGGCAACAATCAACGCATCTTCGCCAGGTGTGCGCTTGGTGCTAGGAGGTACCACAGTCCACAACTCGGCTACGTTCCTTGAAGAGGTTGAGGATGCTGTATCTTCATGGCCTGAGACGCAGAAACCTGGCACGAGGCGATAGGTGGATAGCAATCCGGTCTTGGCCTTGTTGATGGTTTGGGAGAGTCAAGATCTCGACGACCACGGATGACTGTCACGCCTGTCCGTGTATCTAGGCCATTATATGAGCAATACATACGCAAGGCTATCGGGCGTCGATTTGTTATGCACCAAGATGTTTTTCAACTAAGGCAATTCCGCACAGAATTACTACTTGTACTTTGTTTGCAACTTACAAAGGTGTGGGAGGAGTTGACCCTTTGTGCTATGCCCAAATTGTATGGACAAGACAACGACGAAGGGGGAGAAGAGCAAGAGTGATAGCCATCTGGTGATCATCGCCTTACATGACTTATTGATCGAAGTATTGGCAGTAACCATCAAACTTGGGGTTCTCCAGCAGGTGCAAGTATTTATGCTTCTTGAGACTAGACAAGAGAATTGGCAATGTTATCGTGGACTAGTGTTGCTATGCATAGTCGATGTGGCATGCCAGATCACTCCTAACCGATGCAATTACTCCAAAGATGCCCGTGACGAGGATAGGGTGTTGACGACTTGAGAAGCTACACCTAAAATACCCCACGCGCAGTCGGCGTTTGTAATCGCCGTGCACCGATCATGTCACTGCACTGTGGCACCAAGGGGCCAAAAAAATCAATGGGGGAGGAAAGGCGCGCAGGAAATCTGGATACAAACCAGGAGACCCTAAGCCTTCAAAGTCGGTTTCTACCACTCAGGACACGAGCCTGTCGGCCGCGTTTTCTTCTGTTAAGGCGCGTGTAGTCTTTCAAGTCTGTACACTCAAGCGATGCGCTCCCTTTCAGCAGCCTTAAAGCTGCGCCCGCGTCTTGCTGCCAGAGGCTTGCGACAGCTCGGCAGGCGCGGATTCGCAGACGTTGCAGAAGGCACCAGGTAAGTTCGTGTGATATACCGGAAACATACGCCCCCCAGCACGCCAGTAGCACACAGCTAACTCGATGCTCAAGACCA